TCTTATAATAAAAGATAGAAGGAGTATGTTTTTCTAATATGAGAGCTAGTATTTAATTAAGTTAAATAGATTAAATAATTCAGATTAATTATTTAATTATAACAAATGTCACATGATCTTTCTAAAATACATAAATTAGTTTGAATAAAAATAATAAATATAAGAGACAAAATGAAATGAAAATTTTGTATTTAAGATCAAATGAGGCATTATTTATTGAAACATAAATACTACTAATAATAATAATAATAAGTCTTTAGGTTTTCTTTTCTCAATATCTCATAAATTCCATTAATATGTCTTTGGCACTTACAAAGTTGATCATGATGTGATGCTTAATTAATTAGTCGATTTGACATTGAAAAAGAAAGGGACGTTAATATATGGGTGTTTAAAATGTAAAAATGCATCCCACATGTAAAATTTATTTTTAAAAAATCTTAATATTAATAGTCAATATTATATATAATTAACTCTATGCTACCTTCATTCCCAAATATAATATGTACAGCGTAAATTTGAAGATAGTAGAAGAAAGTTTGAATTGAATATAGTGGGCAAACAATATATCCCTAATCGGTAATGAGCACGGCTTACCTGTATATAGCTTTTAGATTGGTTCAAGAACTGACCCACCTTTGAATCAAATACCAAGCGAGTCACCAGTCTAGACACGGCGGAGTATTAAATATAAGCATTTCAAATTTTACACTTTTATTTTCTATATTCTCAAAATTTAAATCTTAAAAAAATATAATATTATTTCTAACCAATTCTCACGTACTAATTATAAAAAGGTTGAAACCATTAAATTTATTTTAAAATTTAAGTAATTTTTAATATTAGTCTTATTCACCAAACTAAACTTTATCATCATATTAATTTTTACTTTCTCTTATTATCTTCATTGGATATGGAAATATATAAAAGGAAAATTTTAATATTCCTAAAAACTACTAAATATTTTATATAAAAAAAAATACTAACACCACTTTCTAGAATATACATGTGTGTGTGGGGTGGGTGATGAACGAATATGATTGAAAAAAACGATTCAGGAAAATTTAAGTCAATGAAATTTATTATGTATATCGATGGTATATAAAATTATGGGTGTTACTCTGCATTAAATGGAACTTTCCGGACAGTACAGCTTCATCCAACAAAGTCACAACTATATTTGTCACTTAAATGCCCAAACTTCCCACCAAACTCCCACCCTCTGGCTGCCGTTTAACTGTTGCAGAGTGTGGACCCTTTTGCATTTTCTTTTTAATTTTTTTGTACTTGCATGACATAAAAAATTCAGATATTTTTTGGATTTAGCTGGGCGTACATTACATATAAATTAAATATGCTATTCAACCATCAATGACATGCATAGTTAACCTAAATTTGCTGTTCTTTAAACTTATGCAATGTTTTAAATCAATCTTTTCAACCAGTCTGATAATACCAAACATCTTTCTTAAGGTTTTTTAAACGTGAGATTGTGTACTCAAACCCTCTATAAATAACATAATAAGTATCTGAGGTATGATTAAAAAAAGTGGAATGTTACAAAATTATCAAATCAGGAGCCTTTTCTTGCATGTCACAAACTTCAACATCCCCAAAAACCTTTCAAATGAATTCTGCTAAAACACCCCCAAAGAAACCTGAGGGAAGAGTTTGGTTGTTTTTGGGGCCGATAGCTAAAATGTTGGCATATAAAATGTTTGGTTTAGTTAAAGATAAATAGAAGAGATACTAGTCAATGTATAGACTGGTTGGCCAAGAAACCAATACGTGTTCGATTTCTCTCCTACAAGTAAAAATTTATAATTTTTAAAAAGGAAAGTCATTTTACATGTACTTATGTTTTTTTTTATACATATGTTTTTTCTCTCTTAATTAAACTTTTAATTTTTCTCGATTACTATTAGCACTGTTAAATAATGATGTTAATAGAACAAAGTTAAAGGATTTAATCAAGATAAAAAAACATATGTACTAAATTAAAAATTAAGAAAAAGTACAGTTAAATATAAAATAATTTTTTTAAAAAAATTAAAACGAAATTTCCTCGATTATATTTTAATTGTGAGGGACTCCACATATATATAGCCACCCATCTTTTTCAACCCACGTCCCTGGATGCTCGTTAAATTTTGTCAATAATCATATATTCTTTTTATAGTTGCACTTGTTAATTACTTGTATACCATGACAAAAAGTGACCTGCAGGAATGAGTAGTTGGCGCCTCTGTATATAAGAACTCAATGTAACATTATTGCCAGTGTGACAATGGTTTTTTACAAGACAAAATTAAAGATTCATCCCATCAAAAGAAAATTAACATGTTAAAAAAAAGAAGATGCGTTTTATTTATCCGAGTATGGGAAAGGCACTTCTGAAATTAAAGGAACATACATGAGTGATATTTTTTTTCCTTTGTGTTCTTGTTTTTTTCCTATGATAATGGTTAAAAGGTTTATCTATAACCTTTGATAGAGTATATGAAATTAGTTTGCATCTTTAAAAATATTGATGTGTTAGTGTGGACTGTTATTGAAGACTGATTAATTCTTTATAGCTCGTTTGGTTGGATTACATGAATGGGGAATACATGTAATCCTAATGCATCCCCACATTTCCGATGTTTGGTTGGTCAAAAATAATGTAATGGGTATTACATGATAGTATTATGATTCCCTTAAATCCAGTAATAGGGATTACATTAAAAAACCTATGTGATCCCCATTACCACCACTCAGAATCCACTCTTGACTTTCCTACCCTTCATCCTCGTCATGGTGTAGCTTCAACCTTCAAACCACATCTGGAAGCAATCTTCACCTGTATGCTTCTCCTTACCACTGACAGCAGCCATTGGCAGCACGTTATCGCATAAACGAGAACCACATCGTCCTTGTGTGCTTCTTATCCATGAAGAATTTGCTCAAATCTGAACACCACGATTGCTCTTCCAGATCCAAAGCCACAAAAGGGACAAATGATGATTGTGAAGAGTTTTCTCAAACCCAAAATTTTTCCTGTTCAAAATCTAAAGCCACAATTTTGATTTTGTTGGGCCGACAGTGGACAAGGGGAGGAGGACAACGGGTGGATGGGAGAGAGTTTTCTCTGTTAGGGATATTTTTGTCCTTACCCTCTTATTTAAATTTAATTAAATCAAAATATTAAATTCCATTGTAGAGCATACCAAACACAGTCATGTAATGCATACTGCATTACATTCCATTCCTCTCCATTACACTCCATTCCATTACTGCGCATTCAATGAACCAAACAGGCACTTAATGTACAGAAAATTATGTTAACTCAAATCGATGTGAACAGTAATAGTACGGACTCTTATAGCTTCAACAAGTGGGAGTTATTGGTGAATGCCAACTCTTACACATGTAGCAATCTAGCTATTCCAACTATTATTAGTTTGTTATAATAAATCAAAGGGGTTTTTAGGCTCAAGCTCAACAGCCCCGATGGAAATGAGCTTGAATAGAGATCAACTCTTAAGCCTTTTTTATTTTTTATTTTATTTATTTGATTTTGATGAAATTTAGAATTTGATTTTGTGGCAAATTAGAGGAGAAAAAGGATGAATTAAAGGAGAAAATCTTTTCTTAAGGCTAAGGGATGAGTGTTTTCGAACTTAATTGAAATTATCTGATTCCAGATTTTACTAACTTTATTAAGATATCTATATACGTTTTATTTGACAAATTTTATGTTAACAAATCTTAGAAGATTTAGTGAGTTAAGGAATAATATCAAGATCTATTTTTAATTAGTTTAAAAAATTGAAAAATACTGGTTAAAAGGTTATTCCTAACTATATAAAAGTATACAGAGATAAAGTAGTTATCCAATGACGATGGAAAGAATCAACTTGATGATCACAAGTTTTCTGAAGTTGAAAGAGGTATATCTGTATTTTTTCAAAAAGACTATTGATTATAAAAAAACAGAGATAAAAATAACATAAGAAAATATCACTATGTATAAAACTCCCATTTTTATAATTATATTTGCTTCTAAAATAAATGTACAGGTTAGTTGCCGAATGAAGCACAATTCGGGTTCAATTTATCTGAAAAAAATTATAATTCTTTAAAATTTAAAAACAAAATTCTTAGCCTACATATTGATGCGCATATATATATATATATAAAGGATCTCTGTTTTGTTGTTTGGTTGATAAAAAAAAGTATGAGAAGTTTATATTCGTGTTACATGTACGTATTTATGTTGAAAATTTTCTTGGTAATTGGTAATTCTTTTTGTTTGTCAATGATTTAATATGACCCGGAGATAGAGGTCGGGGAAGGTAGTATGCATGTGACATGTGTGTGTATTCAAGCAAGCTAAGTGTTTTATAACTCAATGTCTCATTTGCCTATTTTCAGTAGCAGTGTTGCGTTGGAGTTAGAGAGAGAACTTGGTGAAAGAATTTTAGAATGAATGGGAGGAGATTAGAAAGCAAGCTAATATAGAAAATGAAATGAAGCAAAGAGAAAAATTGGGGTTCATAAATAAAATAAAATTTAAAAACGCTTATTATATTCATTTTTTTAAAAATGAAGTCATATTATTTTTATTAGTCATCAACAATTAATAACTAAATACTTGAGAAGATGAGCTTTTTAAGCTTGAAGTCGATAAGTGTAAACTAACAAGTACAAGAAAAGCAAATATGCAAAACCAAAGAATAACAACAAGAATTATTCAAAAGCTACAATTAAAGAGCTATAAGAACGAGATGACAAATAAAAAAAAGGCTATAATAAGATCATTCGGAAAAACAAATTCGTTCGCACGTTAGCAATTCATTTTTTACATATCTCAAAAGAATCTGAAACTTAATATTATAAACACTCCACCAAAACCCACTATTTGGAATTCTATTCACTCGAAAACATCAGAACATTCAGAATCACCAGGGAGATTAGATCATCAGCGAGCTAGGTTAACTCATATTCAATTATATATTCATTCACAGTGCTTCGTCTAGCCAAGAAAGAACAAGTTCTTCAAGTCCAACTTTCCAATCTTTCCAGTAAATCTCCTCAAAATCTGAACCACCTTCATCCGCCTTCAGAGTCACCAGCAACAAATCTTTCACAATCTCAAAGAGTTCCACGATTACAACCACTTTTCCTTTCCTCATTCCAATTAAACCATTCTTCTCTTGTTCAATCTTAAACCCTAAACTCACTCCAATTCCTTTCATTTTCTTCACCACCACCTCCTTTTCCGCCTTCGATGTGAACCTCTTCTCTAAGTTCGTTTCAAAGAAAGGTCTCAAATCTAAACCCCTAGACATTGATATTATATCAAAAGCATTCAACCCTAACTCAGATTTCGCACACGAATCCCATCCCGATCTCAACACACTCCTTTCGATTTCTGGTTTCAGCGATTTCTTGAACCACGCTACCTCGTACAGCGATTCAAGGTTCGTCCTCTTGATTGGATTCGGGTCGAGCAGATTGTAGATCACGTTGCGTGCAGGCTTCGAAATCCACTCCGGGAACTTATAATCGCGCAACCCAATCTTTCTGCACATCGCCGGGATGCTATAGTCGTTGAACGGCAGATATCCGGCGAGCATGACGTATAGTATGAGCCCGCATGACCACGCATCGACTTGGGCGCCATAGTAACTTCGCCGTCGGAGTATCTCCGGGGCGGCGTAAACCGGAGTACCGCAAGCTGTGTGGAGCAGCCGGTCTCGGAGACTTTCTGATAAAGCGGAAAGCCCAAAATCGGAGACCTTCAAATTGCCGTCTTTATCCAAGAGAAGGTTCTGAGGCTTGATGTCGCGGTGAGCCACACCGTTTTGATGACAGAAACAAAGAGCAGAGACTAGTTGCTGAAAGTAACGGCGAGCTAATTTCTCTTTCAAATGGCCCTTCCGGGTGATTTCAGTGCAGAGGTCGCCGCCGGCTGCATACTCAATGATAAGATAAATTTTGGATTTTGTGGCCATGACTTCGTAGATTTTGAGGATGTTCGGATGATTATGGAGGCGGTACATTGCATTGACTTCACTGATGATCTTATCTTCCATGGAAGACTCAATAGTTTTAAGCTTGTTGATGATTTTCACGGCAACCGTGGAGCCATCAACTAAAGATCGTGCACGATAAACCTTTGCGAAGGTGCCACGGCCAAGGAAATCCATCAATTCATATTTGCCGAGAATGATGACCGGAGGAGTGGGTGGGGTCACCCCGGGTTCCATGTGGAACCGGCTGCGAAAAATAGTAACTTTAGCGGAATATCATGGAACAGAGAATCACACTTTGCGATCATACTTATATATGGTCTCCACTGGTCAGTCTTGTATTTGCTTTGGTTTTTTTAAAATAATTTTTTTGAAAAGTTGGAGATGAGTCATGATAAGCATTGTTGTTTCCAAATTTAATTGAAATCTATCTGATTGCAGAGATTTCACTAATTTGGTTCAGGTATCTATGTTTAATTTGTTTATTTTTATGATAACAAATCTCTGGAGATTTAGTGAGATTAGGAATAATATCATGACATATCTTTAGTTAATTTCAAAAAAATTTAAAAAATTATTGATCAGAAATTATTTATAACTATATATATTCACAGAAAGGTATAGTGATAATTAAACAAAAACAATTTTTATTTTTAGCAGTAAAATTGAAATTAGAACTAATAATATATATATTGAAATTTTACAAATTATCCATTTTACATGCCAACTCTTTCACCTTGCATAATTTTCATCTTATTATATGCTAAAATTTTCTTTATCTTTTATGATTTTCAATAAGTGGAGAAAATATTTAAAGATTTTCGCTTCAATCCAAATCCGATAATCCGATAATACATATATATATATGTATAAAACTTAGATGATAAAATATGTGACACTGCTACCTGACTATCCGACTCTTCCATGGTTTGTAATCCTTTGATATGCGTAGCGTTAACCTCAAATTCGTTTATTAAAATTTAATAATTAGACATGTTTGTCAGTTTTGAATAAACAAGGCTATTAAATTTTGGCACGCATGTTGGTTTGTACTTTATACGAGTACTTTACATAATGTCAACAAGTTAGACCAGATATGTTATTAATTTGAAATTAAACAACTGAGGGAAAAAGAATTGACGTATGGACGCATGCTGATCACAACTATATAAAGGGACTGTTTAAAAATATACATAACCCTTTTCACAAACTAAAAGTGTTAAGAATATAATAATTTTGTGTTCAAGAGCTATGATTTGACTTTACAGTTAAAAGTTTGTTGCACACATGTAATCATTTACAGGCTATCTCATTTACAATTTTTTTTTTTTTAAAAAACCACCACATTCCTTACTTTGCGTTATCAAATAGCACCATACTCGTACAACACTTAGTCATCCCTTACTTTGAACTGATGAATAAACACACAAGGCCATAACCCATGAGGACCTCAAGGGGAGAGATGTAAGTTAACTCTCTATAATGATAGGGACTCCACATTCCATTACACATAAAACCAATTATAATGAATTTTTTTACATAAAGATTAGGACCACTAACACACAATATCTGAATTAATTGTGTGATTAATCCCTGACTAATATCTTTAACACTTTTCTCCTGATTCGTACAAGCTATGTTATACTAATAAATTGTTAGTTGAAATGATAAATGGTCTCACTCTTGTAAAAAAAAAGAAGCACAAGTTCGAATTTCAAGAAACATACTTATTAAGAAGATTTTAATAATATTAGTCTTGAATCTAAAGTGACTTGATGATACCCTGAGTTATAACAAAAAAAAGTAACTGTGATGTAACTTTGATATATATATATATATATATATATATCATCACCCAAGAATGAAGTCATGCATGATTAAATAATGTGTGCGTGTGTGTGTTAACATGTGAAGGTGAATATAGAATTATATGAACAATGTCGATCCATCACAACACCAATATATTAATAAAATTCAAGTTCAAGTGAACGTTTAAGGTTCTGCAAATTCAAGTGTCATTTTATTAGAATTTTTTCTACGTATTAAGAAAATTCAAATTCAAAATATAAATGAAAGCCAATAATATTCTCGAACATATGTATTCAGAACATATATATTGGTGGCAGGAGTAAAGTCTTTCAACCAAATGACTTCATCTTCATTTATTTGAAATCAAAGGTTTTGATAATGAAATTTGACTTCATTTTAATATTGATTCATAAAATTTAAAATTAATAGTTTTGGTCTGTGAAATTTAACTTTATTTTGGTGTGGTTTTTGTTTTGGGACCAAAACTCTTTTTCGAATTCAAAACTTTTTTAGTTGAACTAAAATGAAGCTAGATTTTAGAGATCAAAACCAAAATAATATTAAATTTTAAGGACCAAAATTAAAAATATTGATTTCAAATTTCAAGCACTTAAACCAAAACCAAAACAAAATTAAATTTAAAAAAATTGATATTAACCCTTTTAGAATGGGAGAATTATCTGGAAGTCCCAAAAAAGAAATTTGATTATTAAAGAGTCCTAATTGCAAGTGATCAGTCTGAATTTATTGTCATTTATTACTCTGAAACTTGTCATTGTTTACTTTTTACTTGTGTTTTTAGAGTAATTAAATACTATTTTTGAGACTTGATTATAATTATCTTTTTTAAAAATTTAAGGTACTCACTACCTCTGGTCCTAATTATAAGAGCTAGTTGACTAATTTGAGAAGACTAAGAAAAGAAGTTAAATTAGTTATTTGTAATAAATATGCGTTGTCTTTCTTAAAATATTCCTGCTAATCAAGTATGTTGGCTATAACTATCATTTTTAGAAAGACTACCTTAAAAAAAAATATATAAATATGAGAGACAAAGTGGATTGAAGTCTTATATTTAAGATTAAAATAAAAATCAAAGAAGATCTTATATTAAGAACTAGAAGTAGTATTACATCCGGTCCTAATTATAAGAGCCAGTTGAATAATTTGAGGAGATTAAGGAAGTAAGTTGAGCTAGTTATTTGTCTTAAATAGGTGTTCTCTTTCCTAAAACATCTTTGCTAATTAAGTGTATTAATTAAAACTATAATTATTAGAAGGACTATTTTGAAAAAAATTGAGTAAATATGAAAGACAAAGTAAATTGAGATTTTATATTTAGAACTAAAGTAAAAATTAAACAGGGTCTTATATTAAGGACCGGAGGTAGTATTATCTAATGATGCATAGGAGCCCATGACTCCGCCCACCATTCGTACACCATTTGTTTTCTTCCCCTGTTTTCTCCCCTGTATATCTTATCAGACGAGTCTGAATATACCAAACGTTTTTTTTTTTGAAATGTGAGGTTGTTATTTTCATTAAAAAGAATAATAAATAAGCCGAGTTGTAGTTAAAAAAAAAAAAAACGAGTTTGATGAACACCTGCTTCACTGGCTTTAAAAGAAATTAAATTTCATTATTATTAGCATCGATTAAGACCATTTGATCTTAATTCTTAAAAACGTTGTTTATTATTTATTACTACCTCCGGTTCTTAATATATGATTTTACTTGACTTTTATTTTGGTTCTAAATATAAAACCTCAATTCACTTTGTCTCTCATATTTATGCTTTTTTTTTCTTTTTCAAAATAGTCCTTCTAACAATAGTAGTTCTAGCCAATACACTTGATTAGTAAGGATATTTTAGAAAAGACAACACATATTTATTACAAATAACTAATTTAACTTTTTTTCTTAATCTCTTTAAATTAGTCAACCAATTCTTATAATTAGAACCGGAGGTAGTATTACAGAAAAAGGGCGACACATTGTTCTCACATACACATGGATAGTTCCAATTTGATTTTTACACAGATTTTACTAATTCACGTTTGACACAACACACTCAATTGAATATGAAAATAAAGTACTACCTCCGGTCCTTAATATAAAATCTCGTTTGACTTTTATTTTGGTCCTAAATATAAGATCTTAATTCATTTTGTCTCTCATGTTTATTCATTTTTTTTCCAAAATAGTCCTTATAATTATGGTAATTCTAGCCAATAAATTTGATTAGCAAGGATATTTTAGAAAAGACAACACCTATTTATTATATATAAATAACTAATTTAACTTATTTTCTTAATCTACTCAAATTAGTCAACTAACTCTTATATTTAGGACTGGAGATAGTATATACGTCGTTGTTTTGCTTACTAATAACAAGTCGTTCGCAAAAGAAAAAAAAAGTTTACTAATAACAAGTCTCATGAGATTCAAAGAATTGATACTGTTAATCTTTAATTATCTTTCTAAATAACTACGGAAAAATAATTGAAGATTAACATTTAGCCTAGAAAGATCTCATGATATGTTTTTTTTTTTTGAATAAAGTACTGAAATTTATTAATAGAGAGACATCATGCACCCAAAGGACCTATGATCCTTCATCAAACTCCACCTCAGTTCTTTCTGGTGGAGGTTGATCCAAACAGGTAGTTACGGAGACATAACCCGCTGCCACCCCCTTATCAAGTGAAGGAAACTTGGCATCTGATGGTATATGTTTCAGACTTTTCTTCTCCTCCTGCCGCCAATAACAAATTTATTATGTTCATACTGCAACCGCTTCTTAATATAAAAGTTTATTTAACTTTTATTTTGATACTAAATATAAGACACTAATCTAATTTATCTCTCATATTTATTTATTTTTTTTCAAGGTACTCGTAGTTTTTATAATAACAGTAGTTCTAATTAATATACTTAATTAGTAAGGATATTTTAGAAAAGACAACACTTATTTATTATAAATAACCAATTTAACTAATTTTTTAATCTACTCAAATTAGTTAAATGACTCTTATATTAAGAAACATAGGTAGTAAGTCATAATGTTTATTAGTATAACTAATTTTAATTTTTTTTTAACATGAACACAGGGGTGGCTTCTCTCCGCTGCATTATTATCTGTTGCCAAACATTACGTGACTATTAATGGTCGCATAAAAGGGGTTCTTTTGAGTATCTTTTGTATAACAATAACAAAATTAATGTTTAAAATGTTTAGAGTTGATGATCTCTACTTTCTTATGATTTTTTTAAAAGTTAAATACATGTCTAATTAATATATATAACAGGCCTCATTAGACTCTAAAATATTTTCAATTATATGCAGATATCTTCCACTTTATACATAGGTTTCATAAGAAAAGTTTCGTGCGTTAAAGATGAGTTGCACCCAAATTTTTAAATAAATTTTTGGTACCTTTGGACATCAAAATTTTGCAATGAGGAATTTTGTTGCAATATTTCTCTCAAAAATTCCAATAAAGATTGTGTTTATATTTATTTATTTTTTTTGGCGAAACCTCTCTTATAGTAGTTTTTTTTTTTGCCCCTCTACATCATCTCCTTTAAATCTTCTCACAAAATACAATTGGTCCCATTTGATATGAAGTATTGAAAATAAGGGATTGAGATTGGGATTAGGATTGCAATTGGAAAAAATTATCAAATAGTATTTAATATGAGTAATTACTTATTATATAGGATTACGTAAACCCGTAAAGGTGGGATTGGAAAATACCACTCGGGATTGAGATTGGGATTGGGATAACAATTGAAAAAAATTATTAAAATAGTATTTAGTATGAGTTAGTTTTAGTCCTAAATATAACATCCATTTCTCATATTTATCAGTTTTCTCTAAATTACCCCTATGGATACTCTCTCAACCATAATCAAATAGAAGAGGGAGATGAGATATTAAGAAAAATGATTATGGTGTTATAGGAAAAATGTGTCATTTTTCTATAATTAACTAATTTACCTAACTTCCTTAATCTAACCAAATTAGTTAAATGAGTCTTATATTAAAGATCGGAAGAGTATATAGGATTAGGTAAACCTGTAGAGGTGGGATTAGGGAATACCACTCCCTACCTAATCTTATATAACAAATAATCTCTTATATTAAATACTTCTTTATTAAATTTTCTCAGTTACAATTCTAATTCTAATCCCTCATTTTTAATACTTCCTACCAAACGCAACTAATAATCTCACCACTATCTCTTGGGATTGAGAAGAGGCCTTAGGAGAATTATGTGATTTTCTTATATGTTTTATTTCATTTTCTTGGGAATGGTAATTGAAAGTTGTTCTTTATCTTGCATTCATTCTCTAAGTTTCACGTAATATTTTAAAAATGGGATTGGACGTCAAATTGAGAAGGCCAACAAATCATTATTCAAATGGGAGGATCAGCAACAGTAGGAACGTTAATGTGATAATTAAATAAAAAATAATATTATACACATATATTTCTTTGTTAAATCTTAATTAATGTTTTAATAAAAATGCATAAAAAAATTAACTAATGTGATCCTAACTTCCAAGATTTTTAGCATTGATATTTGCGATATTCAAACTCACCCTAGAAGCCTCGCCGTTCAAAATTCTCCTTATTAACTTCTACCTTCCTCTTTCTATCATCTTCTCCAATCCATCTCATTCTCTTTGTAATCCTCCATCCTTTTAACATTTGTGCTCTTTCGCGGTTGCCATTGGCATAGGAAAAAAGGTAAGTCAGCCATTTTTAAGATTCTTTCTATTAATTTCCAACTTAATTTATTGTTTTCTCCCTTGTGATTAGTGTATTAATTTCTATGTCTCACTCTTTTCTCTTGTATTCTTCTTCATGTTCTAATTGTAAGAGGGTATTTGGATGAATACTAAAACATAATTTTAAAAGTAATCTGATGAAATTCAACATAAATATATAAAAAGAGTTTTATTTGAACTTATGTGAAAGCTGAATTTCCCAAACACAGGAGAAAAGTTGACTTAACCCGCTTTCTTTATAAAACCTGTTTTGGATTCTGGGCCATCACGTCTAATTTGGGTAGCGCAATATGATCAGTTAACTATTCCAAACAGTTCAATTTGGCTTTCAAAATCATGGTTTCACTTTACAGGCGTAAATATAATGTCATGTTGGCTAATTAGGAGATAAAATGATTAATTAAGAAGTAATTATCGACTGTTAACAAATGGTTTTTAAATATAATAAAAAGGTTTGACTTGAGGATACATCCAACACAAGCAGGTGATATCCTGACATTATTGGTAACATGCCTTGCTCTTGTCCTCGTTTCCCCTATCATCAGTTCATGCTGCTTTGATTAGTATACATCACCGAATAAAAAAGCAGAAATATTAAAGCCGAAAGCAGCGTGTTTCAAACCAACTTTTATTATTTTACCAGTAAGTACGAGGTGACCCCTGAAGTAATACTCCAATAATGTGTTCGGATAATTATTATACTATTCATTAAAAATATATAATCGATTTGATTTGATGGGATTTTTAATTGGAAAAAAAAGCTGAGCAAATTCAAAATCCCGTGAGGACGTGAGGTATTAACTTTCTTTTCAGGGATAAAAAAGTAATTGCATGGAACGACCAAACCTACTCCAAGTACAGTGGTTCCAACTCACTGCAACAAAGGACCCGTCGTACTTTGTGTCAGGGTTGGAGGAGGGGGCGGTCAGCCTCATTATTTCCTATTTTGCCCTTATCCACGCTCCACGTTCAGGAATTCGTGGGTTACGTGTCATAATCTCATCCGTTGACCTTGTACGCCTCGCCATAATACCCTGCGCCGCGTTATACCCTACCTGGTACCCGCAGACACCCCGTGATGGACACCTGCTCCTTTGCTTCATCCTCCTTCCTTCGTCAACCTTCATCACATACCGCCATCGCTTCTTTTTTTGGGTCAAGTGCAACGTCCTGCTCTCAGAAACCAAACCCACTTATCAACTCTGACGAATCTTGGCAATCAAACAAATTCAATCAAGTCATTAACTGTTAGTTTTAATTCCTGAATCGATAAAAAAGAAGAAAAGGGAGTCTTTTCTCCCCCTCATTTCTCGGAATCTGATACCCGGGTCTTGTCTTCTGGCACTTTAATACATTTTTATGTAATGGAATGTGAATACATAATAACTGTTCGTGGACATGCGTGAAGGGCTATAAGTAATTTTGTCTGTGTTTTATTGCCGTCCTTAAATTTGGGGATGTGATTTGAGGCTGGGAATGGTCAGAGATGGCTCGGGATGGGAGCGTTGTGCCGGCCGATCCGCAGGCTCTGGTGGCTGTCAAGAAGAAAACGCAGTCATCAAGGAGTTGGATTCTTTTCGATTCCACAGGTCAGGGCTCCATTCTCGACATCGACAAGTATGCCATCATGCATCGAGTTCAGATTCATGCTCGTGATCTTCGGATTCTGGATCCTCTACTTTCCTATCCGTCTACGATATTGGGTCGAGAAAAAGCTATTGTTCTTAACTTGGAGGTACCTTTATTGATTTGACATTTCACTCTGTTTTTTCTTCCACTTCGGGATTAAGTTCCGGTCTTAATTTAATATTTATCTTTTCTTGTTGCGATTTTGGGATTTCAGCATGTCAAAGCAATTATCACTGCTGAAGAGGTTAGTCAATTTTCTCCGTTTTGACGATCTTCTTATTGACCCTGTCTGTGTTATGACTGATGAATATGTCAGATAATAAATAACTTACAGGGAGTTTATCAGTGGCAAATTGAATAAATCTGGAAAGTGGAAATTGAGAAAACACTTTATAAATCCTATTCTTTATTCTAGTAACATACGCTAAAAGTTGCTTTACTCTTCATGCGAACCTAATTTCGTGGATAACCCAATAGTTCAACGCATGTTTCTTCAAGAAACGGAGGTGGACCAGTTGTTGAATAATTTGTATGAGGAATTTCTGGTTTAAGCTGTGATTTAGTGGCTCCTTCGGGAGGAACTTCTGCTGATTAATCAATAAGGGCTAGGTGGATTGTAGGCATGGCCATTTCCTGGCATTTTACTAATGCATTTGATGGGAGTCTGGTGCGTTATGATTTTTATTTTTATTTTGGGGGGGGGGGATAATATGTTGTTTGTGGTTTGTTGTCTAATTTATGTATCTTCTATCAAGCTCGTTGATGCAAATGATTATGAAAACAATAAACTACTTTTTAGCTTGTCTTGTCCATTAATGTAAAGCCATATATCATGGAACCTCAAGCTAATGTATTATAAGTTAAAATTCCCGTATGGACTTAATTGCTGACCTCAATTATGCCTAATAGCCCCCGAAACAGATACTGATAAAATGTGTATAATTCAGCCTCAGCAAGTTCATTGACTATCTTCTCTGTCCGGTTCATAAATTTGACTAGTGACTTGTACCTTTATGCATTTGTAGAACATAAAACTGTTTCCAGAAATTGAATTGGGCCACTATTGATAGATTGTAATTGTAGCTAAATTGTTGGATAGGTATTGCTGAGGGATCCAACAGATGAAAATGTGATCCCTGTTGTTGAAGAACTTCAAAGACGGTTGCCTAAAGCAAATGCCAATAACCTCCAAACAGGAGATCGTAAAGAGTATTCTGTTGGACAGTATGACATGGAAGCAGCTGAGGAAGACGGTATGCTTTTTGGATGAGCCATGAGTGGTAGCTTAGTTTCAATCTTTGAAATTTGTCTTCTTTGTTGCACCTTATTTATTTCCTTGTTAATTTCTTTATGATATATTTTTCCTCAGTCGTTGCTTTTACTTCTTTTGGCATCCATCACTGAATGCTCTAGATTATGCAATGTAGAGTCCCCCTTTGAATTCCGTGCCTTGGAGGTAGCTTTAGAAGCCATTTGTAGTTTCCTTGCTGCACGTACAACAGAATTGGAGATGGCCGCTTATCCTGCATTAGATGAACTTACCTCCAAGGTACATATATAATTGATGCCAAAACATTCTTTTGTCCCTTGTATGAAGTTTCACTGTCATCCTGTAACGTTTTTGCCCCCATTTTCTACCTTTGTCTCCCAATATATGATCAAGGATTTCCATACTTTAACTCTGTGGGAATCACTAATGGAACTATCCTATGGGTCATATTGTCGTTCTACATGTATGAGATGTTTAGTTAGTACTTCTCTGCTAATAAAGTCTAACCAACACATTGATAATATTAAAGGCTAAATGACAAATTTATCCTTCAAAGTTGAAGGATGAAAAGTAAAACTTTATTTAAAGTGAAGATCCAAAAAGTTAACCTGACATTTAGGTTTATAATCAGCTTTGTCATCTTTTACCTGGTTAGTCCTCTTTCTCACAAATATTGAGCAAGCGGTGACCGAGTGTCAGTGTCATTTGTTTAAAATGGTTGATGATATTTTTCTTTTTACCGCATTCAGACATCTCAACTTCTTGTTGTGTATTTTTATTTTCACAATATATAATAGATTGCTTGAGGATTTCTTTTTGGTTTTTTTGGGGGTTGGGTGTATGCTATAATTCAATGATTAGACCTTCTGACATTTTACATTGTTGTAATCTGCAGATTAGTAGTCGTAATTTGGACAGGGTTCGTAAACTAAAAAGTGCAATGACTAGATTGACTGCTAGGGTTCAAAAGGTATATCTCAAACCCTGTATTCTGCTGTACTGCTGAAAATTCTGTATCTGAAGATGTTTGGACCTTCTGCCTGTTGATGTTGTTGACACTTCGGAGTTGAAACGGATTTTTTTTTGGGGGGGGGGGAGGGGTTTGTATACTTACATGATGGTGAATGAGAAAATAACATTCATGACTTCAAATGCATTTGGATTGTGTCCACTTCAGTTCCGTCTTCTACACCTCCTCCTCATCAAAATCCATCCATTGCTTTGATCAAACAGCAGTCCACAAGCCGTGTAGCAGCTCTGTTGGCTGAACCTTCTCTCCCCTCAACTCGACACGGGAAGTGAAGAAGAAACCCTTGATCCCAACAACACAGGGTGGTTCAACAAAAGGCTTCCTGTTCGACATGAATGTTTTATTGTTTGCTCTATGAAATGTCATGAACCACAGTTTTGAGCTGTTTGATTCCATCTATTGATATGTGTAGTTTTGATTTGAAAATGAAGAAAGTGTAGTATGTGTATGCATGTGTTGATTCTAAGGAATTCACGTGAGAATGGAGCTTGTGTTGATTCTCATGATTGTTAGAGCACTAGGACATGGGTAGTGAAGGCTACCACAGTTCCTTTGATCACCATGGCTATGTCTCCTGCAGTCAAAAGTTGTTCTCTTTTGGAGGAGAACGAGTGTGAGCACAAGGAGGTGCATGGTGGTGAAGGTGAGATGAAAGGGGATGAAATGAGATACAAGCACCATGGTGGTGATGATAACTTCTGCACTTTAAATGTTGAGGAGGGAAAAAAGCCAGCCCAAAGTTTCAATTTGGTTTGTAGAATTCTGTTCAATCCAAGTCACAGATGGATTTTAATAAAGTGGGGGCACACAAGACATAACCTGAGTGGAGAGAATCAAAATGCCCTTCGTATCAGTTTTCTAGATTTTTTCAAGCTTCAGAAGTTTGTTTCCAAAACCAGCTCTGGTTAGCTCATCTTATGTGTCAAAGTTGTGTTTTACCAGATATTAAAGTTTTTTTTCTGGGGCGGGGATTATATATGTTATCTATAACAATTTTTAACTGCTGTTTCTTGTATGATTTCTAGCTTTTTTTGCTGTACCCCCCCCCCCCTTTCAAGGCACATCCCTTTTTCTTGAGGTAAGGAATAAGGAAGGGAAGATGTATGAAACTGAAAGTTAATTCACCTCCTTTGTTCCTGTTGAGGCCTATCAATTATTGTAATGTTTACAGGTCAAGAAATGTCAAATGATTAAGGCTAATGCTTGAAATATTTATTGTTTAGGGGATTCTAAATATTTGACAATTTTTTCCTTATATTTTTTGATTCTAAAATGTTTGATTCTAGCGTAATCATCAACTTAGATACTTTACTTCTATTGTGTTTTTATGTATGTACCTTTTTTGGGGGGGTTGAAATGGATGATTTTTTCTTCCCTTGAACCATGAAAATTACAGCAGGAAAAAAAAAAAAATCTAAAAGCTCAATAACTATACTTAGTATGGTTGCCTGCGTGTTCAGTGGTACTGATACCCATCTCTCTGCAATTGTTCTCGTCCTTTCTGCCCAACATTCATAATATGTTATCACATATTTTTTCATTTGAGTTCTACTCTTCATTTCCCCTAACAACATTGTCTCTCAATGTGGACAGTGGACTTAATGAAGCTATGTGGTAACATAAGCTCCCTAGATTACTTCTGAATGGATATGTTCCTCTTTCCCTGGTGTGTTCTTGCTAATACAGGTTAGAGATGAGCTTGAACAATTACTGGATGATGATGATGACATGGCTGACCTATACTTGTCAAGAAAGTTATGCTCATCCTCGCCAGTTAGTGGATCAGGTGCTGCCAATTGGTTTCCTGCTTCCCCCACCATTGGATCAAAGATATCCAGAGCGAGTAGAGCAAGTGTAGCAACAATGCGTGGTGATGAAGATAATGTGGAGGAGCTTGAAATGTTACTGGAGGTTATTAGATTTTTTACTTTCCAAATAAAGAAACATGAAGAAAAATTCAGTTTATATTTATGAAAATGTTTTGAATGTTACTGATGTATTTTGCAGGCTTACTTCATGCAAATTGATGGCACATTGAACAAATTATCTACGGTAAGTGACAGCGGAGTTTTATTCTAGGCTGCGAAGTTTCTTATGGTTTGACAAGGTTAAAACTGATAGCTTGTCAATGTGTTAACCTCATTAGTTTCTTGAATTTATGGTAGAGAACGGATTAGATATGCCTCTTTGCTTCTCCTTTTATTACTGTTTAAAATTTGTTTGAGTTTCTTTTCTCAGGAATGATGACAATTCTCCCGCTGTAGCTATAACCTATAGGGATGTCCTCAACTTGTATATGTATATACTGTTAGATGAGAGATTGCTTCAAATTCTACTTGGTTGAGTGATCACATATTCGATTTGATACGAATTAAGTTTTTCCTTATTTTTATTTTCTTTAGTGATAAGAATTATATAGGACTGATTTGTTTTTTGTTTTCATGCAATAAAGGTGAGGATGTTAAACAGCTGTGATAATTTTACAGCAACAAATTACAAAATTGAACAAAAAGCGCTGATATTTTCTCAGGAAATACACATCTAGATTATGGCACTTTAACTCATAGTTTGCGAGTGTATTTTATGGGCTGTTTAGAGATTTCAGTTTTCTATTTTTATTCCCGATCTCAGCTTCTTTTTTTTTTTTTTAGCTTCTTTCATTCCTTAATTTATTGGTTCTTGTGTTAATATTTTTACATTTTACTGTGATGCAGGGAAGCTTTTCGATTTTTTTCCTCTTATCTTTGATGAAACTGATATTTTTAATTACCAATTATTAATTGGAAATCCACATGGCTCGAGAAGAAAAGACTGGAATTAAATTAATGATGGAATATGTTGTGTATGTGGTGATCTTTGGGATCAAACATAAGAGTCTGTGCGCAAAAGAATCTGGTTATATCATAATCAGTGGTGATCTTGAGCCAGCTTGTAATGTTCCCTGTGCTGCGCTAGGGGTGATCTTTGGAATCAAACCTAAGAATCAGCGACATTGAATTCCCAAAACTCTCTTGTATTACTGATAGAGAGTGATCCATCTGTTGAAATGATAATGATCCATCATTGCAACATTTTGTGACTGACTATCATTTTGCTCCTTTAGAGAAGCATGAACTTTTTTGGATTCTCAGTTGCCTTCCGTTTTATGCTAATTCAGAGGCTGGTAAATCACTGTGCTTTGATTGAGGTTGCCCTTTTAAACAGTCCTAATTTTATTGAGATTATGATCATTCTGCTGCTAAATTCATGCCTTCTCGCAAGGGTGCTTTGTGAACATTAAAACTTCTTGGAGAGTTTTTAGAGTGTTGAAAAACTAGACACTCTTGACGTCCGCTTCAGTCCTTTTGGAAGTCTAGTACTCTGTGCTATTTTAGGTTTACAAATTCCATTGATTGATTTTATAGATCCGTTAATGACAATGTGTCAGTTTTTAATCTGTAAACTGGCATATTTTGTAATTGTTTACTTTCTCTGTATCATTTGCAGCTCCGGGAGTACATTGATGATACAGAAGATTATATTAATATTCAGGTTACTCACGTGCATGTTATTGGGTTTTTTTTTTTCCGGTCATTGTATGAATGGCATATAATGTGAGCCCAACTTTCTCATTTTGCAGCTTGACAACCATCGTAATCAGCTTATCCAGGTGCTCTTGAGCTTCTGCATTGTGCATGTCATTTGTAATTATTCTGTGATGTAGCATTTTTTTTTTTTTTTTTTGGGTTTCATATGAGATTGCTCATCCTTTAAATTTATTCTTTTTTATCACCGCAGTTAGAGCTCTTTCTGAGTTCAGGAACTGTCTGTACGTCTATCTATTCTTTGGTGGCTGGAATATTTGGAATGAATATCCCGTACACTTGGACGGAGAACCATGGTTACATGTTCAAATGGGTATGCAAACTATTGCTTCTTGCTCTGTAATTTTTTTCAACTGACATTTAAAACAACGATTAATTATCTCCTACATTCGGCAGGTAGTTATTGTCACTGGACTATGCTGTGCAACTTTGTTTATCTGCATAATTGCTTATGCTCGTAAAAAGGGGCTAGTAGGATCGTGAAATATTGATCATTATTCTGGAAATGTGTTGAGAGACTAACTCAAGAACGCCTACATACTGTGCGGTGATCACTGTTGAGAGAATTTTTATTGTAGGGTGATTCAAGATTTTGTTCTCGAGAATAATAAATGTCGAAGGATCCAGTGAGAGCCACCGAACATCCCAAGGAATGTGGGTTGATATGAAGTATTTTTATTTTTTCTGGCACCAACGCGGCTTGAAAACAGTTCAGAGTCTAAGCTATGAATTCAGATTTCGTTGAATTGTTGATAATCATCAGTGTGTACTTTGAGGGCACACTATTGTACTGCTTTTCATTCTTAGTTGATATCAGTTATCCTATATTTACTTAAGCGTGAAAAAATGTTCACGAGTGCTTTCCAGTTAATCCTGAAGGATTCTGGCATGAACAATTATACTTTTCAACGAAGGATTGGATTAGAAGACATGGAATTACCATGTCTACAGAAAATGGGATTCAAGAACGGAAGACTCTTTTAACGTTTTCTTCTCAAATAACTTCGCAACTACCAACTTTACGTTTAAATTCCCCAGTGTGATTTTAGAACCTGTCATTTTGTTGTCATAATACTTATATGTGTGATTGGTAGGTTCAAAAAGGTATTACAGTTATTGAAATAGATCAGAAGCTTCCTTGTATGATTTGCTTTTGCTGTCTTTTTAAGATCATTTTGCTTGGAAAGAATTATTTAACTGTTTTATTTTATTAAAAAAAAATTGAGAAGAACGATCTTCCGTAGTTTCATAAATTAAAGTGACATGTCTTTAAATAGCTAATTTAAAAGAGAAAAAAAGCTATTCCACTAATTAAATGTCAAAAAAAAAATATTTGGCTGTTTAATTAAATTGTTGTAAGACAAGTAAGAGTGTGTCTCACGGCTTTGCACAAAGCTCAAATTAATTTGTACTATTTATTATAACTAATGAATAGCACATAAAGCCTCATGTAACATGTATAGATTTATTGATTATTGGTTGCTAATTACTAATTAGCAATTCTTTATATTCTTGCTCATTCAAATGTAACAAGCATTTACATGGCATGTGAAAGGATTAATATGAAAAAATTATACATAGATGTAACAAGCGAATATGAAGTCCACGAAAAAATAAAGGTTAAAATCAGAATTACAAACATGGGTCAACATCATCTCTATGAAAAATTCTAGTTTTAGTTTTTTCCCATCGGCTAGTAGAAGCATCATAGCGTAGGAGGTGCTTCATTAATGTTCTTAGACAATATATCAAACCGTCAGTTTTGAGTTTTGATTCTCAACTATCGAAAGATCTAATGAAGTCAAGACATGTTCAAGAATTCCCATAACTCAGCTTGTCTAATGCTACAATTGTTGCAAGGACAAACCTTGTTAGGTCATTCAAATGCTCTTGATGTTGATCCAAAGGAGGTAAAAAAAAAAACATTCTATCTAATTCATTGATGGGCACTTCTTGACTTTCTTTTTGTATGCTTAATCATGCATTAATTCTATCTCATTCAAATGCTCTTGATGTTGCAAAAAGGAATGAAGCTGGTGTTTTGTAATAAAATTAAATAAGACTAATTAAATGAGGCCGGCATACATTTCTTATATTTCATAGATAGCTCTTTATTATTGAAAATTTTAAAAAAAATTATAATAATAACCAATACGACATGTCAGTATACATCAAAACGACGTATCAGTATGCATCAAAACGACGCGTATTAAAATATGACACATTATGTTTTGCGTAAAAAGGAAGCTTAACATTAAGGGTGACTCAAATAATATACCAAAAGATAAAGGTTATAAAACCTAAATTTGAGTCCTCAACATTGCTCCGCATCATTTTCATCGAACATTGTATCCGTTCATTAGGTACTTGTTTCTTCTCTCTTCTCTCCTGGTGTGTTTAATTATCTCTCAATCCTTTATTTCATTGTTCTATTTGGTTTATTTTCTTGGGATTAAAGGTGGGACAACTTTTTCTCAAGAATCGAAAAAATAAATCCTTTTTTACTAGGGTTTTTGTTAGGGATGAATATGATTTTAGTAATGCAAAAACAATTTATCAAAAGATATCTAAAGTGTCAGTCAAATGATTTCGCTATACGATATAGATGACTCCAATAGAGACAAAAAAAGCCTATTTTTTCGACGGCGTCGAAGATAACAAGAGAAAAATAAAAAGGTTGAATAAATATAATTATTTTGTATAAATGCAATTAAAAATTCATGTGTGCCTTTGCAAAAATAAGATTTTACAAATATTATAATTGCGGAAATACATTGAAGGGTGAAAGTTAGATCAGATTGCGAAAGAAAATCAATGAAAGGCGAGATCCATGCTTGTAAGGGGGGAAAAAAAAATCTTACTTTGTCTTCGCCAAGTTACTCACTTTTTCCTTCTATTTGCTCATTCAATAATTAATTTTAATTTAATACGAATTTTATAGTAATTACTCTCTTGTTCTGGCTTAGCATATATGCATATTTTTATGGGCATTTAAGTGAAAATAAATATTCACCCAGAATGAGGATGGATGAATCTTCCTTGCTATAATCCTCTTATCAACTAGAAATTATCTATTTTTCTAGCAATTATCATCAACACGAAATATAATATATATATATATATATAGCAAACTTATCATTAATAAATCATGAGAAGCTTAGTTAACTAATAATTTTAAATTAAAAAAAAAAATCCTGCACAGACATAACTAATACTGTGACTACATGCGTAGTATGTTAAAGTTATTGTACTGATTTGTGTTTGTGCTGATAATATATAACCAAAATAGGCTTAAGTTACTTGGTTAGGGTTGTTACAAGTTAATTTATATACCTTTTATCTTTCTTATAATCAGTTTAGTGAATATGCTTATTCATATATAACTAGACATATATATTTCACTATATATGAATCTTGTGAGCCGATATCAAGTATATATGAGGTAAATCGTAGAATTTATGGCTTGTTATGCTAGATCGATGTTCATATTACATCTCCTATAAGAACTCAGCATTTGTGCTGATAAAGTCAACAATACCAGACAAATCTTAACTTGAATAACCTTAACACGCAACGGGTCAAAATGTCAAATTATACGCATCATCATATTGCTCGTAGTGAAGTAATAAACTATATAATTTGCTTTAAGTTAACTAAGAGTTTTTGTTTTTTTTTTTGGGTACAAGTTAACTAAGAGTTGTTAATACACTCTATGGAGTACTTTGCACAGTTCTGTATATTATCACAAAGAGCATAGACATTAATTATATAAATATTCAAAAGTATAATCTAAGAAGTCAGACCTTTGTGTCTCTACATCGTCTTCCTTTAGTACAGTTCCTAACCTGCATATTAATTCTCTCATCTGGTTTCATTTTCACCTTTATTTTGTGACTGTTTAAGATATATAATAATGTGCTGATTTTCTTTGAAGAAGTTGAAGTTTAAGGAAATTTATGTGTAGTTTCCGTGGTTTTTTATGATATATCCAAAATAAATTTATCTTCAATACCTTTTGTCAGAATTTCAATTCGGTTGCTGTTCTTTCTGGGTTTGAATTTGCTGCTACTTTAATTTGTTGCATATTCAATCAATATCATCATTTAGATTTGATTTAAGTAATTGTTGTGATAGTATAGGATGCAGCCTGCTCAAGAGTTTAAACATCACTGTACGTAGGATCTTTAACAATGCGAATATGATTGTGTCTATAACAAAACTTTTGTCTTTGAATTTTTATATTTAGAGAATTTAAAGTTATATATAAAAGATGGCAAAAAATTTGGAAAAACACAGAATTCTTCTCATCTTTTTCTGCTCCTCGTAGTTAGTTAAAAGTTAAGGTATTTAATGTATTCTTTCTTAGTTTCATTAAGTGAAAGAAGACCCAACTCCAAGTTGTTCAGAGGCGTGATTGATTGCTTACGTTTGGATTTACACAACCCCAAAAAGTTTGAATTTTCTGCATAATAAATAATGGTTAGGACTCTTTTTTTTTGTCAACAAAGTTTAGGACTCTAGATTGCCTCCAAAACTCAGAGTTTTAAACTTTTGATATCAACCTAAGGTAGTCCTATCTTATAAGAGGCCTGATTTTTCACTATAATGGCACAATGCTGTAAGAAAAGAGATATTGACTTACGAGTGAGGTGCACTAGGAATCACTTGAGGCGTATGATTTTACTCACGTCTATCTCTGTCTTTGTAACATGGTACTGATGTGAGAAAAATTTATATATTCCTACATACCTTATAATTATTTGAGGAGGCCAAAATAAAAAAAGACATAATTTGTGTCCTAGGGTCACTTAATCCATATAGACATGCCTTGAAAATATGTGAACATATTTTTTAATCTCAAAGGATTGTTGAAGACTTTGGGCTCTCTGCATGGTAAGGAAATGAGTCCACACAACATTGGTCGTATTTGTTTGATCATATTCCCCTTTAATTTCTTCCTCTAATTTACCTAATTGCTAGATTTCAAATCTCATACATTATACAAAATTCAAAGAATGTACTATTTATGTATATGACCTCCTGTCGTAGGTCTTATAATTAGGATCAGTATAAAAAATTTGACTTGCTATAAATTTTGCTCTTGTAAACAATGTGATTCATTATAGATCTTACAAATTTTTATATAAATTATACTCCTCCGGTCCTTAATATAAGACCCAATTCTTGAGTTAGTTTTGGTTCTAAATATAAGACCCATTTCTCATATTTATTAATTTTTTCTAAATTACCCCTATGGATACTCCCTCAACCATAATCAAGTAGAAGAGGGAGAGGGGTATTAAGAAAGATGATTATGGTGTTTCAGGAAAAATGTGTCACTTTTCTTATAATTAACTAACTTACCTAACTTTTTTAATCTAATCAAATTAGTTAAATGGGTTTTATATTAAGGACCAGAGGAGTAGATTATAAAATATTGTTACTCCATGTGTGTATGTGAGTTATACAATGAAGGGAAAATAGAGTTCTTGAAAACTTTGGTGAATTATAAAACTTAGCCCTCAATAGTATGAGCTTTTCAAGTTCATCCGATAATAATTGGGTTCTTGAGTTATGCTTATATGTAAAAAATTTATAGATATTATTTTTTAGTGATGAATATATGGTTGAACTTCATGCAATGCATGAGTTTGGCATCTAATAGCTGAATTTTATGTTGTATTTTAAATTTAAAATATAGCTAGACATCAAGAAGGACTAAATTAATATGAATGAAAAAATTAGGAGGTGGAATCGAGAAAATTATTAGGTTTAAGTTTGATTAAACAATTCTAAAGAAGACAGGGTCGCCTTTGTCAACGACTCCTTTTCGTTAACACATTATGTCGTCGTCGTCGTCGTCGTTCGTACTACCATCTCTTTCGTAGAAGCGCCTTCACGTTCACAAAAGCTATAATCAGCTGTTAGTCTTTTGAGCCTCGAACAAATCAATAACTCTTCATTATTCTCATTGCACGAATCGAACAAGACGCACGTCCATTACTTCAAATCCAAAAACCCCCCACACTGTGTATTTTTCTTTTCTTCCTCTTCTTTCCTCGTTTCAATCCTATTATAGCTTGGGATTGTGGAACCCTTGGTTTTGGTTGGTCGTGGCTGCTATGTTATTTCTTGTGATTCTTCTGGGATTTTTCGTCCTTAATGTTGGAAAACGTCGTGATTTTCTTGCTTTGTTGGTGACATGCACCATGCGAGTACGTGAGTAAGGAGGTGTGTTTTTGTGCGTTTGTTATGTGTTTGTCGTTATCAGAGACAGCGACGGAGGAGCAGAGAAAGAAGACTATGACAGGGACAGAGGGACAAACCATAAAGGTCAGGAGGACGAAGATTTTGCGATGCCTGTTGTGTCCTTTATGTGGTAAATTATTCAGAGACGCCACCACTATCCCAGAATGCTTGCACACCTGTAAGTTCCCTTCTCTTTATCTCTCTCTCTCTCTCTCTCTTTCTCATGCTCTGTTTCCACAATACATTCTGATCTTTCTGTCAATATTATATATGTTCCACTTTGTGAATCTTTCCTCATTCTTGATTCCCTTCCCCCCCCCCCCCTTCGCGACGTTTGGAATCTGAAAAGCTTAGCTTTCCAAACCCTCAAAAGCCTATTTATAGAATATTGATTCTGGAGGTTGTTATTTTTTGCCTGATTATTATCTTATTTAAGTTTTAACCTGTTTCTTCTGATATCTTGGTAGATTTTCATTTGAACTCTTTCTGGCATAAAGCATTACGTGCCATGTAATGCTATTTATGCATGATGTGATAACTGCTAAAGTTAAAGTAGAGCTACCTTTCCATGCATGATGTATCTTTACGTCAGTCTTACACACTTCAAATTTTCCAAAAAGTACTTTCATGTTTAAATAGATCAAACTGCCTTTTTTTTCATTTTTTTCTCCTCCTTTTGCCTATGGAGCTGCTTCCACGCAGCATATTCTCATGGAAGTTCTGTGGCTGTACTGAGAGGAACCTGCACACTGAATTCTACAGTAGAAGTAATTGAAACTACTCAGGATGACATATGTACATCTCTTTTTAACAACGAAAGTATACATGTGTTCGTGCATTTCAATGTAAGCTTATTCATGACTGTCTTCTTGTAATTATGATTAACCTTTTGTCTGTACAGGATTCATATTCTTCACGAAAAGCATAATTGATGAGCCTCTAAGATTCTAACTTTTTGAGAATTCCTTTATTTTTTCCCCCCTCACTTTTTCTTGCTGCTTCTGTTACTTCGGCTTGTGATTTCACTTCTTGCATTTAATGAGCATATGCTTATTAGAGGGTATTGGTAGAAACTTGATCTTGACCTCCTTCCTCTTTCCTTTCTCCGTAATGTTAAATGAATGAACGTGTGATGCATGTATTGCTTCATTGCAAATCAGAATATTACTATGTGCAGCTATCTAAATTTTAAATTCAATTTCAGTTTGCGGGGAATGCATAAGGAAGAAGTTCAGAGATGAGCGTCAGACGCATTGCCCAGAGTGTAATACAGACCTGGGTTCTTTTCCACTGGAAAAGCTAAGGCAGTCACCAATAACATAACTCCTCTTTTGGATCCATTCACTGTATTATTCTGATATTAATATACAGACATCACAGTTTTAAGAGAACTTGCTATTTTAGCTTATTTACAAGTAAATGGATAATGGGTATATTAGTAGAACTATTTCACTTCCAGTGTATTATTATGTAGTGGTATGGTCAATTAATTTTTTTTTGATACCGCATGGTCAATTAATGTTCACATGCAAATGAACTGCTTATACTTAATCTGGTCTGGTTTAGAATTCTGGAGTTTTTGGAACCTAAAATGTGTGCCTCGCCCTCCCTCAACCAGCCCTTTTCTTAGTTCTGACGTATTATTATGGTTGAGCTGCTAGTGAAGTAAACTAGGACAAAACTCAGGTCTACAGAATTGTACTGATCATTATTCTGATTAAGATCAAACTATATCCACAAAATAAATAACATATAGGGTCAAGCTGTTAAATTTTGTGACTGCATGTACTTACCTTTTACTTAAATTTGAGGTTTTGCCATCCTACCTGATAAGCTCGTTGGCCAAACCTGGTATTTTTTTTTTCCTATGGAATTTCTTCCTTCCTGTTATTTTACATGTATTTGGCTAATTTCTTCGCTCTCTTCCTAATTTACAGGGCAGACCATAATCTGCAAGATTTGAGGGATAAAATTTTCCCTCATGAGGAAGAAAATGCTGAGGCACCTGAAAGTGTGCCTGTGCCTTCCTTTCCATTGCCATCCAATTCCAAGAAGAAGGAGAGGGTTCTTCCTTCATTAAGCACCAGTCCAACTAAGCTATCAAGCCATTCTTGTATAGTCGAAAGAAGGGCGAAAACCGCAGCAAAAAAATTTTTGGATGAACAAGAATCTGCTCTTGCTGCCTTTGAGTTGCAGAAAAGATCAGCCGCTAAGAAACATGGAAGACTGGATGGGATAGAAATTTTGGAAGGCTCTCCTAAAAATTTATCAAGAACAAAATCTGTAGCAAGGAAAAAACCCATTCCAAAAGAATACATTCCCTCTACTAGTCAACCTCAGCCTCAAAAAGTAGCAGGAGATAACAAGACAGAACGGGAGCACTGTCAGCCCGAAACTGAAAATGTGACAACTGAAATTGAGGTGAAGAAAACAAAGCTTTCCTTCTGCTGTCTTATTTTCTTTGAGCTCTCTTTGCATTCTGTAGTACACCAGTTTTGCCATTTTTTACTGAAAAATCTGATGGGAAACAATTAGAGATTGTCCTTCTTTCATGCTAAATGTTTTCGAATCTCTGCCTCGTTACATAACTTGTTTCCTGTCCAATTTTATATTAGAACCAGAAGACTTCCTTAGAACCAGATTTGAACCAGCAAAAAGTGCCCAATGAAAATTCTGAGAAAAATGCTGCTACATGGAAAGGAAAAGCTCCTATGTGGGAGCCCTTGAACTACCTGATGGAAGCTGCAGAAAATGCGAAGTCTACGGAGTCCAACAATATGCAAGCAAATATTAATGTTGCAGTGCCTGTTGAACCTTGCAACAATAATTCCAATCCTACCAAAATTATGGCAGCTAGTGATCAAAATGAGGCAACTCTGGTTCTACCAGATCCCATCAAGGCTAAGGGGTTGAGGATCAAACAACAAAGAAGGGTCAAATTTGCTCAGGACTTAAATATTCCTGCAGAACCTGTATTTGCTGTTTCAAGCATCCAAAGCAACGAAAGAATCACTCCAATATGGTTCTCGTTAGTTGCTTCTGAAGAGAAGTGAGATTACATTTCATAGAGCTTCTATTCTCTTAAAATTATTTTAGCTTTCTAAACTTAAATATCTGAGATATTAATTACTGGCTCCAGGGATGTGCGTGCACGCTTGCCACAGATACCTTCCTGCTACCTGAGGGTCAAGTGAGCATCATTGTCCCTCTTCTCACTGCTTTCCTTATAAATTTGAACTAGATTTCACAACATATTTGTTTATCTGCTTGATTCTTCTGTGTTAAAGGAGCAAAACTCGTATATCTTATATACATCCTCCAAATCATGCCATTTGTCTACCTTGTATTGTTATGTGCAAAAGAAAAGCTGGTGACTATCACCACTCACAAGACCCTTTGCATTTGTCTGATTTTCTTCATTGTCTGCTTAGGCCGCATTTAATGGTGATCCATGCGTTGCTTCTGATTCTTTAATTTTTGTGAAAGACATACTGATCTTATTTCTTTAGGTAATCACAGCATTTAAAGCATACTGCTTCAGAAAATCTGGTTATGAACCTCAGTATTATTTTGAACTCATAATTCAAGTTCAACAGTCTCACTTATTGGTAGTCCATGATTCACAGTTACTGGTCTGAAAAATTAATTCATCATAAGCATGTGTGTGAGAATTCTTGCGTTCTATTTAGTGCAAAATTCTATATGCTGCACAAAACTAAACGCCCAGAGCTTGTGTGTCAGTGTGTGTTCTATTGTTATGAGCTTCATATCGAGAGGCCTCACAAGTGTGGTACAAGTCAAGAGGTTCTCCCTCCTAATAGGCTAATCTTATAGGCTAGGCTCTTTCTTCGGACTTGTATTCATAACTCAGATGTGTCCATGCACATACACACAGCTACGTACTAAGTTACATCCACAGGTGTGTCCCGTGTGTGTGAGTCACAGTGTTCACTGACTAGTCTTGGAATTATAACAGGGATGTCAATTTACCTGTTTCATTCATCAAGAAGTACATTGTGAAGAAGCTTGGCCTTGCAAGCGAAGATGAGGTGAGTGCATTTCGAGCGATTAACAATTCTAGTGTCTCTAGTCTCTATGAAAACGTAGGAACCAGTATCTCATTTCTCAGAAGCTGATTGACTTCAGTGAACATGACTGGCACAGGTGGAAATCTCATTAAGAGGGAAGCCATTGTTACCTTCACTGCAGCTGAAGCACGTAGCAGAGATGTGGTTAGAGACAGTGCCTAAATCTGAGAAGATTCATTCCTTTGTTGGGGACTCGGCAAAGGAGTTTGTGATGGTTCTTTCGTACGGTCGAAAGGTCTAAGTCCCCTCATAGAGTCATAGCCTCAAAGATTATGTCAAAAGAAGATTGAAAATTATGGCGTTTCAATTTAGAGGCATACTTGTGCATGTTTGATGGATGCTTTGTGGTGTGCCAAGATTGTTGTTATATCTTGGCTCCAAGAGAAGGAGACAAAATTAGAACTTTTATTTTAGTTTTTAAATATAATTTAATTCATTTGGATAGAAATGTTTATTAGCCTTGAATGTCACAGATTGTAAACTATGTCCCCCTCTCTCGGTTTCATTGCAATCATATATCAGTATAAAACTTTAGGAAATAGCATTATTTATAAATCATGAACAATATGACTTAACTAACTTCTCTTAAAGGTGAAATTAAAGCATGCAGTCTAGTGATTTCCTAGTTATAAATGCTACCAGTGATTTGGCTAGAATTTCATTTTTAACTACAGCACAAAGTATAGAAAACCATTCTCTCTCTGATCACACACACACACACACACAAAACAGCAGTGAAGCAATTTCAAATATTATGAAGTTTCTAGAAATAATTTTATGTAATCAATGGATTAAATGGAAGGTTCAAATCATTCTGTGAGGCTGAAGTAATTAAACAGCGGGCATGACATTAGTCAAGTGAGCCGATCTGGTCTTTTCCAATCGGTGTAATGATCAAAAATCAATGTCAACAAATTTTACATATTTGTAATTGTACTCCTCCGGTCCTTAATATAAGACCCATTTAACTAATTTGATTAAATTAAAAAAGTTAGGTAAGTTAGTTAATTATAAGAAATGTGACATGTTTTTCCTAAAATATTATAATCATTTTTATCAATACTCTCTTTCCCTTTTCTACTTGATTATAGTTGAGGGAGTATCCATAGGAGTAATTTAGAGAAAATTGATAAATATAAAAAATGAGTCTTATAATTAGGACCAAAACTAACTCAACAATTAGGTCCTATATTAAGGACAGGAGGAGTAATATATATATTCCATTCTGTCCATAATATAAAAAGTTTGCTAACTTTTCTATGAAAGTTTAGTTAGTAAATTTGTCCTAAAATGTTATACTTTTTCTATTTTGTCGTTAGAAAGTGATAAAGTTGCCATTAACATTACACTTTTATTATCTTTCATCTCTATCCTCTTTCTCCTACATTTAACAAGGGTGAAAATAAAAAAATTATATTAATTATTTTGACAACATCTTATATTTTGAATCATAATTTTCTTTTAACCGATGTCTTATATTATGGACTACTAGAGTACTTTTACCTAAAGAGAAATGAAAAATTAGGAATATCAATAATGATAGGTAGCTCTAATTTTGATAGAATTACATATGAATCAATGCTTTTATATTTTTTTATATCTATTATTAAAAATATAGAATCACATGTGAGTTAGTTATCAAGATTTTAACGCTAGTTATTAATAGAGTACAATGATGTCATATAATTTATATAATTGATCCCAGCTAATAGTATAATGTTTGGTGTAATTGTAACAGTAGTAGTATTAAAAATATTATCAATTTTAAATATCAAACATCAATTTTTAAATTTGAATTTATCAGTAAAATAACAAAGAGTTATCTAATTTTTTTTAAAATAAAAAAGTTGAAATCTTTATTCATAGTCTCAATATTAATAATCATCGTTGTAGGCGCAGGCCGCCGGTGAGTGGTGTTGAACTGGGCATACGCCCCACTTGGTTGAAAATAGGTTGAAGACTGGTTTAAAAAAAAAAGTGAGTTCAAAAAAAACGTGATCATAACCATAATAAAGTGGAAATAGGACAGATTTAAAAAAAAATTACTCCTTACAGTTTTAAATATAAAACCCATTTTGTTATGTAATTTATATTATAAAATGAGTTTTATATTTAGAATCAAACAAGCAATAAAAAAAAAAGTTGGAATAGTCGACAAGATACATCATGAGTATGAAGTTTGAAAACTAAGATTGCAATCCAAATAAAGCATGAATGGGGCTGCAAAGCTAGTTTGTAATTACAATTATAAGTATTTTATAAGGACTCATAGCTTATATCTAACTTTTCAATAGTAATTTAAAAAATACAAAACCAGAATGTAACAAGAGTCTTGTTTCGATTTACACAAAACATATTCATAACTATTTTTATTTGTGATCCTAAATAAAACCTAAGTATGTTTTATACAAATCGAGATAAAAGTTTTCTTATATTTTTATCTCATATTTTATAAGTGATGATTTAAAAGCCGCCTATAAACTATTCTAATCGGTGTTAAAACATTCGGGATCAAAATAGTAGTAATAGTAATAGTAGTAATAATAATAATAATAAAAAGATAGAGAGACAAGGAACAGAACAGGAAGGCGGGGGTGGATTTGGATGAGCAAAGCAATGAGGTCACTTTTCATTATTTATTGTCTCCTTTCACGCCATGTCTGTTTTTTTAATGAAACTTCCTTCAAGCAACATGCCAACCGACATCCCACCAATAATCTTTTGTGTCTTCATCCATAATTTATAGAAAATTTATATATAAACTTGTAGTTTAATACCTCAACTAAAACTATCCTTGTTTTAGTCTTTTATCCTTTAAATAATTAGTTTTTAAATGACAAGTTTTTATAACAATCATTCACCTTAATGCTTTCTCCAATTCATAATATAAGATGTTTCTAATTAATTCATAAGAACCAATAAAAATAATTAAAAATGTCAAATTTGTCATGAAATTTAATATTCTTAATGTTATTTTTATTAACCATACTAAATTGTAATATCGTATTAATTTTTTTCATCTCTAGTTAACCTATTAAATATGGGGCATATATAAGAAAAAATATTTAATTTTCATTAAAATTATCAAAATATCTTATAAAATAGATTAAAAATTCCTTCTAAAAATCTTTTTATAATATGAATCAGAAAAATATATTAATATTTAAGAACGTGTTATCAATATACAAAATTTTAATCTCATCACGTTTTTTTGCTAACAGTGTTAAAATTAAAAATGCACTTTATAAAATTAAGAAGCCAAAAACAAAATCTCACATAATGGACTTAAAAATACATTTTTTATCGTTTAGGCAATTATGAATATGAATGAACGGTGAATACTGATCAAGTCAGGGTAGTAAAGGTAATTTCCCCTGCTTCATCGGACTTTGTTGACTTGTTCACTGTCACTAGACACAACAGTGCCTGCAAAGACTCGTCCGTTTATGACAGAATCAACAGGGAAACGCCAGAAAAGGGTCCAGGTTCATCCCCCTGAATCCAGTGGCTTTCATCAAGTTCCCTCCTATATAAACAACACATCCTCTACGTTTCCACGCAAACCAAACCCAGATTCGATTCTCCATCCCCTATCCTATTTCGCTGCCTCATTCTTCTCTTCACGTTGATTTTCTTTCTTTGTACTCAGTTTGTTCCATGGCCACGACAATTACTTCCCAAACTACCTTCCCATCTCATTCTCTCTCCAACAGCTTCCACACCCATTTTGCTCCTTCCTTCAAGATTTCTCTTGCCTCCAAGCAGAAACCCTATCCGAGACTCAGAGTCTCCAACGCGTTGATCGAACCCGATGGTGGGAGGTTGGTGAATCTTGTTGTTGAGGAATCTCAGAGGAACAGAAAGAGGAGGGAGGCTTTGTCTATGCCCAGGATCCAACTTTCCAAGATTGATGTGGAATGGGTTCATGTGCTTAGCGAAGGGTGGGCTAGCCCGCTAAGTGGGTTCATGAGAGAGACGGAGTTCCTCCAAACGCTTCATTTCAACTCGCTTCGGCTCCATGATGGATCGGTTGTGAACATGTCTGTGCCGATCGTGCTTGCCATTGATGATGAACAGAAGCATTTGATCGGCGAGTCCAGGGATGTTGCTCTCTTTGACTCACAGGGCAATCCTGTGGCCATTTTGAAAGAGTAAGACTCTACATTTCCTCTCTTCAAACTCGTAAATACTGAAAAACTAGTGCATATTAAAATGAAATGACATTACTTTTTGACGTTTATTGATCTTGTGGTTGTATGTTTAATCCTTGAAATTTTTCTATCCACATACAAAGGCTTAGTTGGCTTCTTCATGCAAGGGTTATCTTTTCACAGTGCTAAAGATGATTACGTGGGTATAAGATTTTGTGAAGAATAGAAAGAAAATGGGAAGGAAGAGACCCCAGAATTCAAATTGGGTATACCTGGGAATGAGTCGTTTTCATACTTGATTGACTACGAATTGATTATGCAAGCTAACCTTGACAAAAACATTGAAAAATTTCCAATTGTTAAACATTTGACCGCTCTTGCGTGCTTAGAAACCACTGTTGTGTTCCGCAGGGAGCGTCGCACGGACTTGAGCTCTTTGGTTGACATTGTGGATTTTATGATCTGTTCGGCTTGCCTTTAATGTACTGAAATTTATCATGTTTTGTGTTTGTGGTAAATAATGTCAGGCTTGTTTTAGTTGATTGTTGCGCACAACTAGGTTTATCATTCAAGGCCCATTTTGACACACAGTGATCCAACTTTTGTATCATTCCATTCTTTATGTGTTTGACAGTATTTGGTCTAAATCCACGTTAGTCATCTCAAAAATTTTACACATGATTTCTGCAGTGAAAAATACTATCATTATGTTCTCAATTGGTCAATTGCAATTGTTCCATTGTGGCTAATAAATTGTTCTTTCGGTTATTTTAGTGTTGAGATTTATAAGCACCCCAAGGAAGAGAGAGTAGCTCGTACTTGGGGAACAACTGCTCCTGGCCTACCTTATGCTGAAGAAGCTATAACTCATGCTGGCAATTGGCTGATAGGGGGTGACCTAGAGGTTATCGAAGCAATCAAGTACAATGATGGCCTTGATCGTTTTAGGCTGTCTCCTGCAGAACTCCGTGAAGAGTTCACTAGACGCAATGCAGATGCCGTGTTTGCTTTCCAGCTCCGAAATCCTGTTCACAATGGTCATGCTTTGCTGATGACTGATACTCGTAAGCGACTTCTTGAGATGGGCTATAAGAATCCCATCCTCTTGCTCCACCCACTGGGAGGATTCACTAAAGCAGATGATGTTCCGCTCAATTGGCGTATGAGACAGCATGAGAAGGTATGCATAATGTCAAGCGTCAATGTAAATTTGTTGGAGCAATACCTTTTGTTTTCTTTTCATTCTCTGAAAAAAAATAACAGGATATTGTGCTTGCGTTCTATTTTTTTGCATGGCCCACTGGAACCTTCTTGGTTAGCCAAAGAAAGTAACTTGCTTACTAAGAAAATCAGTAAACTTCCCTAATGAATGAAATTATATTTCCTTATAAGATGAAAATCACATGATATTTGTTTTTTTTTCATTAGGTGCTTGAGGATGGTGTTCTGGACCCAGAGACGACAGTAGTATCAATATTCCCTTCTCCCATGCACTATGCTGGACCAACTGAGGTACAGTGGCATGCAAAGGCTAGGATCAATGCAGGGGCAAACTTCTACATTGTTGGTCGGGACCCTGCAGGCATGGGCCACCCAACTGAGAAGAGAGATTTATATGATGCTGACCATGGCAAGAAGGTGTTGAGTATGGCACCTGGACTCGAGCGTCTAAACATTCTTCCCTTTAGGGTACTTGAATACTTCTCTTCCTTATCAAGACAAGCTTTTAGTGAAGCTATTCTTTGACATCCCTGGTGATAATATCTGTCTGTCTGCAGGTTGCTGCATATGACAAGACTCGGGGCAAAATGGCTTTCTTTGACCCCTCTAGGCCTCAAGATTTCCTCTTTATATCAGGAACCAAGGTATGTGTAACAGCATCATGCCCTTCAGCTCAGTATTTTTAGGATTCTGATCCTTTAAATTTCAGAAAGAAAAAGATACTGATGTGATCCTTATCTTAGAAAATTAGTACGATCTACTCATGCAAGGTTTTGAACTGTTGTGTCATTTTCTTTCCAAAATCTCCACTGTAAATTTTCAAGAACTTCAAAGCATCACAGTCCGTGTTGGTAGTAGGAACTTTAATAAGGTCAAATTTAGAGAATACAGCTCCGTTTCCTAGGCTAAAAGGATGATGCTTATGTGAAGATGTTACTAGTCTATTTTTATTTGTTTAACAATGTCTTGTATCTTAACTAAGTTGATTTTTCCAGATGAGAACGCTCGCAAGGAATAAAGAAAGTCCGCCTGATGGATTCATGTGCCCTGGTGGCTGGGAGGTTCTGGTTGAGTACTATGATAGTTTGGTTCCCTCAAGTGAAGGCAGAACACCAGAGGCAGTACCAGTTTAGTTTAATCAAGTTCGTTGAATTATACTTTCATTCTGGTCGGGAGAAACAAGTATGTATTCTCCTAAAGAAATCCCCACCTGCAACTGTTCTCTTCCCCAAATTCCCTGCAAAAGAAGGATGGAGAATCTGGGAGGCATTGATTCAGAGATGCAAAAATTTGCTTCCACCTGTTTTCCGGCACTGCCTCTTGCATTGTCAGACTGATAAGTGATAGTGCAGTGTTGATCGCTAACCTGTTCATTATTGCATGGTGGCTGTCCTATTGTTCATTTCTGAATTTTGAGGTGGGAGAGAATTTTTGGTGTAATCTTGAATGTTCTTTTTGGGAAATAAGTGATTTTGAATATTTTTTTTTTTTTTTGGGTTGGAAAAGTGATTTTGAATATTTTAAGACCGTATTGATTCACACACCTCTTGTGTACTTGCGAATTGTCGCTTTATACAAAATCAATAAATTCTATATGATATATTTGTGTGCTAAGATTGAATAAATATGAGTATATCTTAAGTAGAACCATGTTGGTAACGAAATCTGAACATTCTATTTTTTGAGTGTGATCTATTAGAGGTGTAGGGATGCTTTAGACACTTGCTTTTAGCCCTCCTGAGTTTATCAGCAGAAATTTCCGCTGGGGATCACATCAGGAGGCTAAGAAAAATCTCATTCGCTAGGATGAGATAAGAATGAATAGGAGAAGAGGAAGGAGGATTAGGGGTGAAAGTCCTACACAAGCAGGATGAATCATTCATGTATTTGCAAAATGGTGGTTAATACCAATGGGTATGCTGCTTGTGGTGGTAGCCATGGCAGTGAAAGATAGGGCTCTACTACATATTTGCATTGATTTAACTATGATATGATTCGATTATTAGTGATATTTTTACTAGTATGTTTGATTTTTTGTTGAAAACCGCTCTTCAATAAAAATAAGTAATACATGATTTTAGTATTTTTAGTATTTCAATTCATGAATGATGGTTGATAAAAATTAAAATCATATTTTAATATATATTTATATGTGTATTAAAATAAAAATCTTATATTCTTTAATAATGCTATGTATAAAGCTATAATTACCTTTTCTTTTTTTTTTAAAACCAGCAGCTATAATTACATTTATGCCAACAGAAGTAATGGTACATATGAAATGTGATCATGGCCCTATAAGTCATAAATTCAATGAACTCCAAAGTTTGGATACGGAAACACACACATGAGAAAGTAGATTTAACTTTCAAGAGACCTTTCAAAGAAAAAATAATTTTAATAGATAATTTTATTTTAATTGATGTATGAAAATAATATACTATTTTATATTCTCAAAGAAATGTTAGCAGAACGTGACGTGACAGAACTAAAAAATTTTAGTTATCTAATAATCTAAATTATTTCAGGTAAAAGAAGGGAAAAGAAAAAAAAAATACACATTTTTGTGTTTAACTTTTAGATTTTTTATCCCTAGAATTTATTGTGATTTTGATTTTGATTTTTTAAATTTTAAATTATAGATTTTAGTTTCTCAAATTTTTTTATTTAAAATATTGATTTCTATAATTGAAAAAAATGAATTATTTAATTTTTTTAAGGGACTAAAGTCTATAATTTAAAATTTGAGGAATCAAAATCAATTAAAAAATTAAATTAATTCTTTTTAATTAATATTTAATTTTATTTTAATCCGAAGCGGGGCGAAAATTAAACTGACGAGGAGGTATATAACTGAGGGCAGGCAACCACATAGGGTTATCTTCCCCGCTGAGTTTTGCCCTGAATTCGGCTGTCGGCTGCATAGCAGAAGAAGCTCCAGTCATCGAACATGGCTGTAGGTAAAAACAAGAGGATCTCCAAGGGCAAGAAGGGTGGCAAGAAGAAGGCGTGCGTAAACTTCCATTTTCACCAGTTTTGCATTCTGTGTTTGGCGTTTTTATGTGGTCCTTTCTTATTTTTGATTTTTTGGCTTTTATTCAGAGCGGATCCCTTTGCTAAGAAGGACTGGTATGATATTAAAGCCCCTTCTGTTTTCAAAGAGAAGAATGTGGGCAAGACCCTCGTTACTCGCACGCAGGGGACCAAGGTAATTTTATTCATATTTTCTCTGTCAATCTTTGTTTTTAATGCTCCGTCTTAGTGAAAATTTATGGCGAAGGGGAATTGTAATATGGCCTCAAAACGTGTTTAGCGTTTATGCTTCTTGAATTTTTTCTTTAAAAATCCTTAAAATGTGGTTTTTGAATGACCATTAACATGTCGTTTATTGATGCTCTGGGGTATAAATATTGTGCGTGTTGGTTTTTCGATGCTGTGGGGTCAAATGATTTTAGTTTCTTCGACGTTACTGATAGAATCTAATTTTATCTTATTTATAGGACCTGGCTTTAAATTTTATTTTCTGTACATGCTATGCATTTTTTTTCCTTTTAATTTCTCATTCTTGGACTAGTTACCTTCCATTCATTTTACTATTCAAGGACTGATAGTTGATTTATGCTAGTGCCTTGTCACTTTTGAGCTCTTATTCTATGCTTCCAATGCATGTTAACCAGAATTGGCTTGTGCGTTATTTTCAAGGTCCATATAGTGAGCCTCTATTTTTATTATTTTCCTTTCTTTCTTCGCTGAATATTCTTCACCTAGATGAGTGTTATTTTGGTAGCATTTATTGTCTTTGATTTCCTTGGTGCTATTCAATCACTTAAGTTTTTACTTTATTGGTGTGGGTTATGGTGTAAAGTCGTAACTTACGCCGCCTTTGGTATAAATACCAATTTCCATGTTAGAGGCTTGTGCATGGCCGCATGCTTATATGGGTTGCATTTGTTGTAAATATCAGATTGCTTCTGAAGGACTTAAACATCGAGTGTTTGAAGTTTCATTGGCTGATCTCCAACGTGATGAGGACCATGCCTATAGGAAGATTAGGTTGAGAGCTGAGGATGTTCAAGGGAAGAACGTTCTGACAAATTTCTGGGTATGATGGATCCACTGCAATGTTGTTTGCTCATATTATAATCAAATGCTTTTTAATGATCTTTGTTGTTTAACGAAATCCTGCAATCTTTAGGGAATGAATTTTACAACTGACAAGTTGAGGTCATTGGTGCGGAAATGGCAAACTTTAATAGAAGCTCATGTGGATGTGAAAACCACTGATAATTACACGTTGAGGATGTTCTGCATTGGATTTACAAAGAGACGTGCAAACCAGGTGAAGAGGACCTGCTATGCTCAATCAAGCCAGATTAGACAGGTATATTTCACTAACTTGTTTGTAACATGGAAAAAATGGTAGCTTTTGATTTCAACTTGCATCATAATAATATTCACGGTTTTACTGGTGTTTTGCTATGATGAAATATCTATAATGTAATAACCATAATTCAATGGGCATGAAGTAATTGATATCATAGCTCTGTTATTTTGTATGCTTTTTGGTTACGCGCTTGTCATTTTGCTTCTGGATTTGATTAGGGGAGAATTGGTTTTATCTTCCGTCTTTTTCTCACAGTAGAAGATTGAATTTTTTATAAATGCACTGTTTTCTCTTTTAGATCCGCCGGAAGATGAGGGAGATCATGACAAAAGAGGCTACGTCCTGTGATTTGAAAGAGCTGGTTAGCAAGTTCATTCCAGAGATGATCGGCAAAGAGATTGAAAGGGCAACGTCTAGCATTTACCCTCTGCAAAATGTGTTCATTAGAAAAGTCAAGATTTTGAAAGCTCCCAAATTTGATCTCGGAAAACTGATGGAGGTAGCTTTCTTATCCCAAATTTCCTTTAGAAATGATTGACGAACTATGTACTGTATATATTAACCTGGGTATTATTTATATCCTGGGCATCTTTGGAATTTATCTATATTATGTCCTCCCTAGGTAATCTTAAGAGCACTTCCTCTTGATTGGCTTAGTGCATTTAGTATTTTACTCATATACTTCTCCTAAGAAGAATCAAACGCACATTGTTGAGAATAGATAAGATCTCTTGTCATCTGCCTGGCTAAAAGTTCTTTATTTTGTGGTCACAAGCATATAATTACTACCTTTGTTTCTAGACTAATCCAATGCCTTGATCACATGGTCCGATTAGGTTCACGGTGATCATACGGAAGATCTTGGTGTGAAGGTAGACAGACCTGCAGATGAAACAATGACTGAGGAGCCCCAAGAAATTGTCGGAGCTTGATTGAATGGGGAATGCTTCTTTAATTTAGGCGATCAGCTACTTTTCTTCTCTGAGACAAATTAGGCATCATGCAAATGTTCCTATCTCAAGCTGAGTGAAGCATCTTTTTTTCGTTTTTCACGTTGAGAACAAGTGGTGTTCACAGTTGACGTCTGCATTCATTGTTTTTCTTTTGCTATAGTGAAGTTTGCACTCTTGGAAGATGGCTATTCATCTGAATTTTATGGACATGCTATATTACTCGATGTTGTTTTATAAGGTAAGTTACATTTTGTTGACGTGTTTTTTGTTAGAAATAATATAAATAAATATGACCCAAAAATCTATTGTGTTCATTTTAAAAGATTCTTGTTTAAATCTCAATCTAGACCGACAAATTGTAGTAATAACAATAATCATAATAATACCAAAAAAAAAAAAAACGAAATGAATGCAAATCCCAAAGACAGAACATAACCATTTAAACATTGCATTCATTTCTTCCATCGTAGCAAAATGCAGTGGAGGGCAGACACTAAGAATTGTGATTATCATCGACAGACGCTTTCGCAGACAATGCCTTAGTTATGGCTTTGATAGTAGTAGGAGTAGTCCTGCAACAGCCACCAAAAAGGGAAGCACCGGCTTGTCGCCACTTTACTACGTATGACACAAAATCTTCATGTCCCGCTCCACTTGATTTCTGCATTATACATTTGATTTCAGGCTTTTCATTTGAAGGACATTCAACTTATCTTACAATGTACTGGCCAACAATTCCGTAGATAAACAAATATTGGCCATTTCTCAGTGAAGAATCCACCTTATTGCATGACTTGCAAGTCCCAGACTGGGAACTCGCCACTCATTGAGTTTTAACCATTCATTATTTAAGAAGGAGAACCAATTAGAAATAAGGTTAAGAAGATAGGTTTGAACCGGGATTAGGTGAACATCAATAAAGTTGTGGCTATATACAAAGAGAGAACCAGACAGGGGGCTCACCACCCATTGCTTGCTCTCTGCATCGTAAGTCTCGCCACTATTGGGGTATATAAGTACTGGTTTATCGGTAACCTGAAATAGTCACACAAATTACAGAACAAGCATGGGATCTATTTTAGAATAATACAATCCCCACGGCATAACTAGATTTGAAGAGTCCCTTACCTTGGCTATGGATTCAACGAGTGAGTGAATATATCTAGGAGCTGTACAATTAACTCCAATTGCAGCAACTCGCTCGCATGAATCAGCAATGGAGGCACACTCCGAGATGGAGTCACCACTAGCCACATTGCTTCCATCCTTACAACTAAAAGAAAACCACGCAGGAATTTCTATCCCTTCTTCCTCAAGAAGTTCAACGTATGCCTCCATTAAATAAATAAATCCAAGCGAATCAAACAAGGTTGTACAGCATCAAGCAAATCTATGACAGGCTTTGAATTGCAGTTTTTGCATTCTCTGTTTTTACTTGTTGATCATTTCCAGAATTGATTCGTCGGACTTTAAATAAGAACGAAAAATCCAAGTTATATGACTCATGAGATTATAGATACCTGAGCTTCGAGTTTGTTTGGAATGGTTTCAAACGCAATCAAGTCAGGACCAGAATCAGCAAGAATCTGAAGTCGTCTCCTGTGGAAATCTTTCAGCGTCTCAACCGTAACTGCATCGCCGTAGTCCCCTCTGCGAAAAGAAACAAGAATGAATAATCCAAATTCAGAGAAGAAGATAGTGAAGAGTTTCGAAATGTGAAAGGTTGGGTCTCAGTACTTCACCTATATTCAGATCCGTCAGCCAAATAAGCGCCATAGCTTCCCACAGAAGCAGCAATCAGAATTGGAGGCGTGCATGATCTTCCATTTCTGATGCGGTCACAGGAATTTTTGGTGCATCGACCGTTGTAGATGTCTCGAGCCTCGCGTGCAATTTCTACGCTGCTTCGAAGTAGAGCTTCACCTTCCTCTCTTGAAAACCCTTTTGCCTCAAATCCCTGAAGGGTGGCCTGCTTCCAACCCAAATGAAGCGGCAAAATGAAACAATCTACTCGTCTGCGTAGATGTCACTAAATTTATGTTTTTAATATACATACACGCTCCAATTCTTAATATAAGATATCGTTTGATTTTTATTTTGATTCTAAATATAAAACCCTAATCCATTTTGTTTTTTATATTTATGAATTCTTTCTTAAGGTAGTCCTTCTAATAATGTTAGTTCCAGCCAATACACTTGATTAGCAAGGATATTTTAAGAAAAACATATACTCCTCTCGTTTTTAATATAAGATCCATTTAACTAATTTGATTAGATTAAAAAAGTTAGGTAAGTTAGTTAATTATAAGAAATGTGACATTTTTCCTAAAACATCATAATCATCTTTCTTAATATCTCCTTGTTCTCTTCTACTTGATTATAATTGAGGGAATATCTATATGGATAATTTAGAGAAAATTAATAAATATGAGAAATAGGTCTTATATTTAGGACCAAAATCAACTCAACAATTGAGTCTTATACTAAGGACCGGGGGAGTATTTATTACAAATAACCAACATAATTTATTTCTTTAATCTACTCAAATCAACTAACTCTTATACTCCTCCGGTCCTTAATATAAGATCCATTTAACTAATTTGATTAGATTAAAAAAGTTAGGTAAGTTAGTTAATTATAAGAAATATGACACGTTTTTCCTAAAATACCATAATCATATTTCTTAATACCCTATCTTTCTTTTCTACTTGATTATGGTTGAAAGAGTATCCATAGAGGTAATTTAGAGATAATTGATAAATATGAGAAATGGGTCTTATATTTAGGACCAAAACCAACTCACCAATTGGGTCTTATATTAAGGACCGGAGGAGTATTTAGGATCGGAGTTAGTATATCACTATAAGACTAAGTTAACTAATTTTTTAAAAATTCAAAAATTATTCAATTATAACAAGGGTTACATGATTTCTTTGAAACTAGCGGTAAACCCTTGTGATCCACGGTCAGTGCAAATAATTAGAAATTTCGACTTATTTCAAATATTTGTGTTAAATAATTGTGAGAATCTTGAGATCAAAGGGATTTTGGAAAAATGGAAGATGGAGTAAAGTATTAACCATTGCATTAGCCATTGACGCGATTAAAAACTTACAATCAAAATTTTGCACACTACATGCGAAAAAAGTTGCAGAACTGACGCATTACAAAAGTTTGAACTCATAAAACATATCATTCACTTCCCCCATCTACTTTCTCATCTATTATTAGCTTAGAAAAATAAAGATAAATATAATATTTTAAAGTAATTTATTTAATTTCTTTTAATCTCTCCAAACTAATCAATTAGATTTTATATTAAGCATCTGATATAATATGATATAAAATTTTAAACGAGCAATAATGAAACATAATGTACTCCCGCTGATCTTAAATGCAGAAATTAAAAAATTTACTTTAGTCATAAATTTCAACTTATTTTGTTTCTCAAATTTATAATTTTTTCATAAATTATTTTTATTAATTATGCATATTAAAAGAATTTTCAGGATAGCTCATATTTAAATGATTAAAAATGGCATTCTGGATAAATCAGCACTTTTTTTTTTACAGATAATTAATTTAACCCTTTTCTAAATCTTGCATCAGCAGCTATATCATCCGTACATTAATAACGGGAGGGACTAACTCGTCTGGGACAAAAAAAAAGTATATAAAACCGTAAATTAATGATTAAGTGGCTTAGATATCGTTTATTTTTCAACTGGATCTTTTGGAAATATTTTTCAATCTAGCCCTTCAAAATTTCATAGTTCAAATATTAATTTGAGAAGAAAAAAGTTATAATAAATAATGAATTATTGTAGTCATTTTTATTTTTTTTAAAATATCCTCATATATCATTAATAATTTATATAGATTTTTATTGTTATTTTTTATATTTTTTTTTTACAAAAAGAATGAGAATAAAAGTCTCAGCATACAAAGCAACTCTCTTATATGCGTGCGTAAAAGGGAAAGCTAACAAGAGGCCAGTCAAATGAATGACGGAATGAATGAATTTTGTAGCAAATATAAGATTTAGTTACATATTGAATTTAATTTTAAATATAAGATCTTAATTCACATGCTTTTAAAATATATAATGTTCAATACACATGACTAAATAGTGTAGTTTTAAAAAACCAGCACATATTTATTATATTTAACTAATTTAATTTTTTTAATTTCTTCAAATTAGTTACACAACACTTATATTAAAAATTTGAGGTGCTATGCGCTTTACCTGATACGATGCCGTTATTATTATGTTTGCTCCGGCGTCGAGGTAATCTAGGTGGACCTGTTTCACAACAACGTAATTGTTTGATTACTTAATTAACTAATTTGTAATAATCAATTTGTAATCACGCAGCATATAAAAAAAAAATCATCAACGCGCTTATATTAATAGTTTTATCTACTAGATATGGAAAACGTCTTGTAAATACTGTGATTATTAATTATATATTTAGCTACCATGATGATATGTGTTAGTATAAAAGAGAAAAGGAGACGCACACATGTATATGTATACTAACTCTAATCTTTAATGTAGAAATTAGTTGATTAATTTAAGTAGATCAAAGAAATTAATTAAATTAGTTGTTTATACTACCTCCGGTTTTAATTATAAGAGCCAGTTGACTAATTTGAGGAGATTAAGGAAGGAAGTTGAGTTAATTATTTGTCATAAATAGATGTTTTTTTTTTCCTAAAATATCCTTACTAATCAAGTGTATTAACTAGAACTATAATTATTAGAAGGATTATCTTGAAAAAAATTGAGGAAATATGAGAGACAAAGTGGATTGGGGTCTTATATTTAAGATCAAAATAAAAGTCAAACAGGGTCTTATATTAAGGACCGGAGGTAGTAATAAATGTGTTGTCTATCCTAAAATACCTTTCCTAATCAAGTGTTATTTGATGAAATATTTAACATGTGCAACTATTACAATGGCTAACTTGAAAAAATAGATAAATATGAGAGATAAAGTGGATTGAGGTCTTATATTTATGACCAAATTAAAAGTCAAACAAACTCTTATATTAAGGACCAGAGGTGTTTGGATAGAAACCAAACTATGATTTTAAAAGTAATTTTACGGTATACAAACTAAATATATAAAAAATTTATCCCGATTTATGAAAAATGAGAAACATTTTCGGCAGGAATCCAAACACCACCTTGGTTTATAATAGAAACCGTGTCACACAAAGGAGTACCTTTCTGAGGAGATGATGGGAGGTAGAGTTAGTGAGGAGGCATTTGGCGCTCCACAGTGGATCTTTGAGATCAGCGCCGTGCCGTTCAAGCTCCGTCGCCAACCCGCCGTCTATCACGGCATACCCTCCACACTTCTCCAGCCATTCCCTCATAAACGATGCCGTTCCCTTCCCCATTTGTTTCCTGATATCTTCCTGCGCCTACGTACAAAGTCGCCGCCACCTGATCTCCCTGTTTATAGAACAGAAGAGATGAAGGTCATCTACGTATTTACCACTCTACCCCTAACGTGAACCCACCTGATTTGATCCAATTCCCTAAATAGTTTAATTTAAAGTTTGCTTTTATCATGTGATTATATCTTTTATTGGGAAACTTCCTATTATCAGCGATTGGGTCAGGCAAGCATGAACTGTATTTGTGAGGATAATATTCGCAATTTGTTATATGTATAAGTTTTATATGGACACACACACGCACGATACTCTTATACAACGAGCTTTCCCTAGCTTGTGGAATCAAAACAAGTAAGATGGGTGACAGATATATATATATATATATATATGTATATAGGATTAGGATATCTTTTCCCCCACTAGAACATGAATTTATTCCCTAATTTCATTTTATTTTAGCATATTAATAACTTCATTTGTGTATAGTTGTTTGGGAAGATCTCAAAAAAAAAAAAAAAAAAGGAAAGAAAGATGTCATTGAAATTTCAAGACAACTTTCAGATGCACACCGGTTGCCACTTTAAGAGGAGGTCAGCGAAATTCCCACTCTGCCCTAATTAAGTTACAACAAACATCCTCCTTATTATATTACTCCTCCTATCTTAATATAAGACCTATTTAACTAATTTGATTAGATTAAGGAAGTTAGGTAAGTTAATTAATTATCAGAAAAGTGACATATTTTTCCTAAAAATCGTAATCATCTTTCTTAATACTCTCTCCTTCTTCTACTTGATTATAGTTGAGAAAGTATCCATAAGGGTAATTTAGAGAAAATTAATAAATATAATAAATGGGTCTTATATTTAGGACTAAAACCAACTCAAAAATTGAGTTCTATATTAAGGACTGAAGGAGTATTATTTAATGAAGATATTATCTCGGTGTTGCTTTGCGTCTCAAGCGAATGAACAGATGAATACTAGGAAAGCTAGGAAGCATTGAGCTGGATTGAGAGGATAAGATTGGTAATGACGTGTTAAATGTAAGATATGGATGGAGGCAGCAGCAGGACTCTCACAAAAGAAGCTTCTGGCTTGGGAATCAGAAACAAAGTAAGATGGGTGACAGGGAGGATTAGGATATTTATATGTGGAATATGAAGACGAGCATATTTATATACTGTCCCTGGTCCTATTTATAAAATTCTGTTTGTAATTTTTAAATGAGATCTTATAAATATGATCGAAGGCAGTATATGTGTAGATGAAACGTAAAATACTTTAAAAAGAGGCCAAGCATTTGGAGAACAAGGTGTCTGTATTGTTGTGTTTACAATGTGGGCGTGTCAAAGAAGAAAATTCATCATTGAAAAAAATTACCCCGTTATATGTTGGTGTGTGTTATTTCTTTCAATTTTAAATATAAAAACTAATTAGAAATTTAATTTAATATTAAATATAATATTTTAATTTATTTAGTCTATCGTATTTATTTATTTATCTCAAAATAGTCCCTAAAATAATTACACATATTAAAGGATTTTTATTCTGATGTACAAGATTAACATATTAATGCCTGTAATCCTGCAGATGATATGTACGACCATATTGAAAGCAATATACGGTTTCTGTTTTGAATTTTTGAGAGAAAAACACGGCAGCCATCCTATGGATAACCTTAGTCTCAACGAAAATTAAGGCTTTCGCAAATTCCCATCATGTCCGCCGTCATGTCCACGATAATTGTGCTAATTATCATATGATATTGCCTCCAATCATTAATATAAAATCTTATTTGATTTTTATTTGGATTCTAAATATAAGACTATAATCTATTTTATCTCTTATATTTATCTATTTTTTTTCAAGTTGATTATTCTAATAATAATAGTTCTGATTAATAAACTTGAATTAGTAAGGATATTTTAGAAAAGACAATATATATTTCTATAAATAACCAACTTAAGTCACTTTTTTAATATACTCAAATTAGTCAACTAACTTTTATATTTAAAATCTGAAATAGTATAACCCAATTATCCTTATGAACAAACACTAATTGCTACGTTTCTAAGCATTTCGGCGCCGTGCTTCAATATCTGGCTTCTCAGGTCAAACCCATTTTCCATCCGTCATCCCACAACTAACAACACATATGGATAGATATTTAGACCCTACATCACTGGCAACTCGGTTTGGTTTATGTTCCTTTAAACAATGATTTTTGTTTTTAAAAACTCTTTTTGCATGCCCAAAAAAATACCCACTATTTTCTTTTCAAGAAAGTTACTACCTCTGATAGCTAATATAATAACTAGTTGATTAAGTAAGTAGATTAAGAAAATTAGTTAAGTTAGTTATTTATAATAAATTGATGTTATCTTTTCTAAAATATCTTTAATAATCATTAATAATCATGTGTATTAGCTATGAAACATTTAACATGTGCAACTACTACAAAAATCATTTTAGAAAAAATGGATAAATATAAAAATGAAGTAGATTGATATCTTATATTTAGGATCAAATTAAATTTTTAACTAACTCTTATATTAAGGATGGAAGTAGTATATTTGAAAACAATAGAGATATTGTGTGCTGATGCATGCGTGCATATCTATATGTATTGATATATACAGGACTTATGTCAAAAATTATATTACTTCTATTCCTAACTTCTTTTCACTTTTAGTATGGCAAGTAACTCTACTTGTGTATAGCTGCTTGTTATCTAATATTTTAATTCAAATCATTTTATTTTATTTTTTTAAAATAAAATTTACTATGAAACAAATCTAAAGTATAATCATTCGATCAATCTTTCCTTGAAAAAGGGCAGATAGAGTTGCAAGGACAAAAATCAAATTTTTTTTTTGGTACACACATTTAACAGACTTGACAGAAAGGAATGAAGATTGAATGAAGACAACAAAATTCTGACATTCATTTTCCAAAGTAACAATAAAATTATTTTTTAATATGCATGTTCTTTACGTTCGAAGAAAAAAAATACAAAAAAATTATTGTATGTGAAATTTACATTCCATCTTTATATTCATCTCTCTTTTTGTCTCCCTCTAAATACATTATATACATTTACTTAATGTAGAGATCGGATCAAGGTAAAAACAAACACATGAAGAAAAGTGAAAGCAGGTTAACAACTCGAAAGGTAAAATATAAATATGCTTTTGCTGGCTGACGCTTTCAAGTGAGAACAAAAACAAGCGACCAAATGAAATGAAATTCTGGAGATCAATTCCAGGAATTCGCGCAAAAGACTATATTTTCAGCATCAGACTGCATGGTCCAAGGAATGGTTCGGTCCCAAAAAAAATAAAAAAATAAATCTATACATGAAGGCTAAAAATTGGCAGCCATAACTAGTCTTAGAAAGAAAAGTATATAATGCAGGAGGAATTTAGGCACCAATCCGAATCAAAATCAAATGAAATCGAGCAAAAAAAAAAAAAAAACAAGTTAATTGTGGGGGAAAAAAAGTCAGTCAGGGACCCCGAACTGGTGCAAAACAGAAGCAGTTAGGAGTATGATCTTCAGGTATCATGCCTCCTCCTTTGCTGGTATCAACTGCTTCGAGCATTCTCACCACCTCTTCCATCTCTGGGCGCTTGTTTGGATTCCCATCCCAGCACTTCCTCATTATACTTGCAAATGTGCTTGGACAACATCTTGGAATCTCTGGCCTCAGATTCTGTCACAGCAACCCCACAACTTATAATGTTCAGTATCCTCAAAACAGCTTATAATGTTTTGACCCGTTTAAGGTTATTGCAGAGTTCGGATCCTACGAAGTATTCAGTAAGTGGGGCCCTCCTCCTTCAAGAGATCCCAATTCCTTATAGCTAGTATTTTTATCACTATGTCCTTCACCATTAAAAGGCTCACATAAATCATAATATGTCATGCATTTCCATGAAGATGTTGAATCCGTAAAAGTTATATTTTACGTTTTCAAATGTTGAGAGCAGTTCAATTTTTCAAATTAAAAGAAGCTTGAAGTTACAAGCAGAATCAAATCCGTAACCTCTCATTTGCAGGGAAGCATTCATACTGCTAGGCTAGGATACAAGGCCACGAGCAATCCAATATTCATAAGGAGTAATGAAATTTGAGTCCCACAGGGGATTATTATCGTCTTGGCCTCTAGTTCAAAAACAAGGTTGTTAATATAGTATATCACACATTTGTCAATTTCAGAGGGATTATACGTTCAAGAGACCAAAGTGTCAATAATTCCCTTTTAAAGACTCAAATGTCATTCTTCCTAAATGCTAAAGAAATTATACGGGTGGTAATAGCTCTCAGAGTTCAATATAAAACATATTTATACAAACATATCACTATTTGACTAGATGTTGGAATCAGACCAACCAAGGACTTGACAAGGGCAATTGTACTGGTAAGACCCAAGGCCAAAAAAAAAAAATGTGGCAGTGCTGCAATTGTAGAAATGAACTGACCTGACGAACAACTGCGGCTGAAACATCAGCAAAGCTAAGATCTGGATAGGGCATATCACAGCAGTAAATCTCCCATAAGCAAATGCCAAAGCTGTAGACATCACATCTATGGTTGTAGGGCTTGCCCTCGAGAACCTACTCAGCATAACACCAAGATTGAAGACCGATTACTGATGGCTTTCAAACTACGAATCAGATTGTAAGCATGCAAATAAACCCAGTGAAAAGAATGTTCACAAGAATGAAGACAATGAACTTGGGACAGTAACCTTGTTATAAAATCATAAGCTGGCAACGTAAGAAGTTGTTCCAATAAAAAATAATAATAATAATAATAATAATACCTCAGGTGCCATGTAACCAAGGGTTCCAGTTTCGCCTGTCATATCACTCGGATTCATAGCTTCAACACGAGCGACTCCAAAATCAGCTATTTTCAGACGTGCTTGCCCATCTAGCAACATATTTTCTGTTTTGACGTCACGATGTACAATCTTCTTGG